AAAAAATCACTAGACAACAGTTTGAAATGGGCAGTTGCTTCCAAATGAGAGGCTTTTGTTATATAAACAGTCTCTGCATAAGCCACAGACCTTTATGGGAGGTGAGTCCAGATGAGGCAAACTTCCACTATGAACCCTTCCCATTCCCCCCATCTGTTTTTTCTTGCCAGAGAAAGATCACGAAATACAGAAAACCTGCATAGTAGACAGTGCTGGTAGTCCTCTGTCATTTAAATAAAGGGTGGCAATTGGCTTCCACGCATATTGTTGGACTATACTTTCTGATGCCTGCAGCCAGCATGGCGACTGGCAGGGAAATTCTAGGAAATGTACTCCAAAACCATGATCCTGTTCTCCCCTTATGCCCAAGCTTTGGAGACCTATGACAAATAACCCAATTGCCCCTTTAAAAAAAACCAAACATATTCTCCAGAAAATACTATGTCTAGAACTTTAGAATATATTTTGGGCTGACAAAATTATGGAATAATCCCATCTTTATCATGGAAACAAAAAGGCTTACATCTAGAACAGTGGTTCTCAATCTGTGGGTCCCCAGATGTTTTGGCCTTCAGCTCCCAGAAATCCTAACAGTTGATAAACTGGCTGGAATTTCTGGGAGTTGTAGGCCAAAACACCCGTGGACCAACTGATTGAGAACCACTGATCTAGAATAAGTAAGCAGGGTGCCGTTCAATACTGTGTCTGGATCCACCACCTCATATTTAGGAAGAGTGGACTAGCCAATACTCAAGACATATAATAATTTACTGTACAGAAAACAAGACCTATGAAGTAGAGCTTTTTCTGTTTTGGCACCCTACCTCTGCAATTTCCTTTTCCATGAGATACCATTTTGCTTTCTTTTTACAATCAAGTGAAAATCTTTTTATTCATAAAGGCTTTAAAAGCAATAAAACAGGTTGTATTCTAGCATGATATTGTATTCCTTTGCATGATATTGTATTACGCATGATATTGTATTGTATGATATTGCATGATATTGTATTACGCATGATATGATATTGTATTAGCATGATATTGTATTACGTTGTTCAGCTGTCCAGTTTTATTGTGATGGATATTATTGTTTATAAATGTAACGTTCGCAAGCAAATGTTGGTGCTGTTGAAAAAACTCCAGATGGACACAGCTAGTAGACCAACACCTCTCACCTCGTCCATCTAGGTCACAGTGATATGGTACAGACCTCACCACTTTCTTTGTCAGCAACTGACATAGATAACCTTTACATATATGCATCAGTGTACGCTGATAATCTGCCACATATCAATAAACATTATATGTTTTGTATATAAGACCAGCTCAGAGGGCACTATGGACAACACAGGTGAGAGAAAGAAAATTGTCTTCGACACATCAGTGATTTGTCAACGGAACATGGCTTTGGGTATGTTTTATTAATTTTTTAATAGGAAAGTTGTTACTTTATAAATTATAACTGTGCTTTTGTGGTAACAAGACCTGAAGAAATTGTGTGACTGGAATATAAGAGTATTGAAGGTATTGATGTATTTATGTATTCTAAGAAAACCAATAAAAATATATATTAAAAAAAGAAATTGTGTGACTGAAGAACTGTGGCATGATACAGGTGCCAATCCTAATTAAGATTAAATTTGGGAATTGTCTGATTATTTTATTATTATTATAACTTTTCTGTTAGTGCTAAGCAAAGGTGTGTTTGTGAGTTTTAGTAGAACATAAAAATAAATGTGAGAATTAGCTCTTCAAGGAGGGGGAAAGGTATAGTTTTGATATAAGTTCAAATAAAATTCAACACAGAGAGCAAGAAGTGAGAGAATAAGTATAAGGTTTGAAAGTCGAAGCTTCCACAGATATTTCAGCATTCTTTTAAAGCAATTTTCAGTGTTAAAAACTGCTGCTAAGTATGTAATCAACTTATAAAGCAACCATCTTGTATAGTACCATGCAAGAGATGGTAAACAAAATGAAGCAAAATGTAACAATTTTTATTGATCAGCCAATTGGCCTTATCAAAACAGACAATATAAACCCAACATATAGTATACATCTATTTCAAGTAAAAATATAAAATTACAGAGATAAAATGTCGGGATGGCCAACTTGTAACCAAATGTACCTTGATCATAGGTATATACATCAGATGTCCTCGTCCAAGAGACGATAGCAGTTTTGAAGAGATGAAAATATATCCATGCTGTCCACATGTACTAGCAATTCTATCTTGCACTGGTTTATCCAGCTGTCTTGGTCCACATAGTCTGTCAGAGTACTTGGTTGCAGCATCAGTGAGATTCCCAACTGAGACATAGTATAGTTGCAAAAAATGTATTCAGCTCCATTCTGGAATTTTTGGAAGTTGTGAAAGTAATTTCACAATTACTTTCAAATTGTAATCATTGACAATATACAATTTGAATCGGTTTCGTTTTTTAAGAAACTTTTCCTGGTGTTTCTTGAATTATGTGGAGGCCAAAATCCACTGATAGTGGTGATATGAAAATAACCAAATTAACTCAATGTATATGTACAAATACACATATCAAAAACTGCCACATACATATAAGTAGAAACAATTGGTTCTTCTCTTGAAGTATAAAGCAAAGTCTTCATTTGAGAAAATGTCCTTTCTGTATTGCATGTGAGTAGACTCCAGTAGTCACATGAAATGACTCCAACCTGCTACCGGTTTCGACTCACAAGAGTCTTCGTCAGGCGGTTGGGTCTACAAACAATACATATCATGAATACACATAATTACAATTGAACAATTTGTTACAACAAGTTTGTAAGAATGTATACAGACACTCTACTTACTCAAATTATCAAAAAAAGGCTCAACTTTTAAGGTGAGAAATTCACCAACAGTCTTCTGGTGGGGTGGATCCTAAGGGGACATAGATAGTGACCAAAGGTACATTGTGGCAAGAATTATAAACCATACATAGAGAAATATACAATCTGTGAAACAAAGATAATATAATACTCACAACTATTCTTTGTTGTGCATTCTGCAAGAGGTTTTATTCTGTGGCGAGTGTAGGATCAAATTAACTCAACCCATTACTAATATAGCAAGTCCATTGGTCAGGTGATGGTGACAACAAATCGACAGGAAAAATTGCAAAAGAAGGGAAAGATCTCCAAAGCCAGTGGGTGAATCCATTTTACTAAAACAAAGCAATTCAGAGGATTGTTGTAGGTTTTTTCGGACTATATGGCCATGTTCAAGAGGCATTCACTCCTGACGTTTTGCCTGCATCTATGGCAAGCATCCTCAGAGGTTGTGAGGTCTGTTGGAACTAGGAAAATTGGGTTTATATATCTGTGGAATGACCAGGGTGGGACAAAGAACTCTTGTCTGTTGGAGCTAGGTGTGAATGTTTCAACTGACCACCTTGATTAGCATTTGATGGCCTGGCAGTGCCTGGGGAAATCTTTTGTTGAGAGGTGATTAGCTGTCCCTGATGGTTTCCTCTCTGTTGTTTTGCTGTTGTAATTTTAGAGTTTTTAATAGCCATTTTTTTTTTCATTTTCATGGTTTCCTCCTTTCTGATGAAATTGTCCACCTGCTTATGGATTTCAATGGCTTCTCTGTGTAGTCTGACATGGTGGTTGTTAGAGTGGTTCAGCATTTCTGTGTTCTCAAATAATATGCTGTGTCCAGGTTGGTTCATCAGGTGCTCTGCTATGGCTGACTTCTCGGGTTGAAGTAGTCTGCAGTGCCTTTCATGTTCCTTGATTCGTGTTTGGGCAATGCTGCGTTTGGTGCATTGCTGCGTTTGGTGCAAACGACTAGAAAGCACACAACAACAACAACAACAACAACAACAACAACAACAACAACAACCCCATCTCATCAGCCAAAAGCAGGCCCACACTTCCCACTGAAATACTAATAAGTTTATATTTGTTAAACTAGTTCTTCATTTTAATTTTTGTTGTTTTTTAGTGTTTTTTGCATTACAAATAAGATATTGCAGTGTGCATAGGAATTCATGTTTTTTTCAAATTATAATCTGGCCCTCCATAAGTTTGAGGGACTGTGACCTGGCCCTCTGTTTAAAAAGTTTGAGGACCCCTGATATAGAGGCTTAGAAAGACATTGCTACCCTCAGTAAAGCCAGCTCACTGAAATGGCTAATTTGCTTCAAACACACTTTTCAAACATCCAAATGCCTAAAGACAGAAATGCTTAAACATCCCAGGAGCGTATTCACTAGAACCAGATTTGAACAGATGGACACAATTGTTAAACATGCTCATTGGCTTTATGGCTCCAATTTAACCTAAGTTTGAATGGAATAGTGCTTATTGCAGAACAGGGAGTTACTCTGAAGTAAACAGACCAACTCCACAATATCCTTACTTGTTGACTAATTGTTCTACCTACATTTCCCTGTGTAAGCCTTTAAAAAGTAGATTTATTCAACATTGGGCATTCACATCAAACAGCCAGCATGTTGTATAATCATATTGTCCTCTCCATCCTCCTTCCTATGGGATTTCTGGTCCTCTGGTTTGGACGATTGTATGCCAAAATGGTAAGAGCACCATTTTTGTTAGCTTTGAACGCCTCTGTTTGACATTTGTCTCCCTTGCAAAATAGCTGAGAATTGAATAGAAAGGAGAAAATGGAATATTGTGCTAGGTTGATGACAAAAACGGGTTATCATTCAGCTCTGACCTGTGAAACCAAGTCCACATTCCCCATATTATACAGTTGGCCATGTTTTATGACAGTTCTCATCATAGGTTATTGGGTACTGTTTTGAGCTTGAATTATTGTTTTATATGCTTTTGGTTTTATCTTTTATTGTATTGCGTGTTTATTTTATGTGTTGTCTCAGGCACAGTGTGTTGTACATAAGCTGCCCCGAGTCCCTACAGGGAGATGGAGGCGGGGTACAAAAATAAAGGTATTAAATTGTCTTCTAAATGCTCTATTTCAGTCTAAAAAGCTCGGCCTCTCTTTTCTTTTGCAGCACCTAGGCGCTCTACTCTGTTGGTCACTGCTTTGTTTATCTTGGTCATCCAATGTCCTGGAGGAACAACAGCCTTCCCAACAATGCCTCTCTCCAGCCTCTTTGCCAATGCAGTAGTAAGAGCCCAGCATCTTCACCTGCTTGCCACAGATACCTTCAAAGAATTTGTGAGTCGTGATATATTGCTTGAGTTGGGACTGCCATCCATTTGGTTTCCATGCCATAATTCTGTATAATAATGAGTTAGCATGGAGATATGCATATTTATAAAGTGGGAAATTTAACAGGACCTCCTAAAAATAAGGCAGCACTTTATACCTACTTTAGGAACCTAGCTGTGCAGATAGATGGTGGTTACAAAAATTAAATATTTATTTAAAATATAATATATTAAAATAAATACCCAAATAGGACCCAAACAATTACTGTCCAGTCAGCCTGACATCAAGGAATGCTATGGTTACTAAAAGTCAACATGGATTTCTCCAAAACAAGTCATGCCAAACCAATCTTATTTCTTTTTCAATAGAATTACAAGCTTGGTAGATACAGGGAATGCTTTAGATGTAGCATATCTTTATTTCAGTAAGACCTTCGACAAAGTCCCCCATGACCTTCTTGCAAGCAAACTAGTCAAATGTGGGCTAGGCAATGCGACTATTAGATGGATCTATAATTGGTTAAGCAACCAAACCCAAAGGGTACACACCGATGGTTCCGCCTCATCCTGGAAAGAAGTGACTAGTGGAGTGCCACAGGGTTCGGTCCTGGGCCCAGTACTGTTCAATATCTTTATTAATGACTTGGTTGAAGGTTTAGAGGGCATGCTTATTGGGTTTTCAGATGACACCAAATTAGGAGGGATAGCTAATACTCCAGAGGACAGGATCCACATTCAAAATGACCTTAACAGATTAGAGAGCTGGGCCAAAACAAAATTAATTTCAATAAGGACAAATGTAAGATAATATACTTAGGCAGAAAAAATGAAATACAAAGATACAGGATAGGTGATGCCTGGCTCAACAACAGTCCATGTGAAAAAGTTCTTGGGGTCTTCATGGACAACAAACTGAACATGAACCAACAATATGATGTAGCAGCTTAAAAAGCCAATGATTACTTCTGTATTAATATACACATTGCACAGAAGGCATTAAGCAGACACATTAATATGAATGCAAATGACGTCATATATACACAACTTACTAGTTAATTCTGCAGTGAGGATAGTTATACTGATCAATAATCAAAATTTAAACTGTTGTGTGTATGTGACTTCAAGTCACCTAACAATTTATGTTGACCTCATGAATTTTGTATGATTTTCTTAAATAATTCACAGTTACATAATCATTTCAAAAGATATATTATTTTACATGCTTGTAGTCTTATATTGGTTATTCCCATCATCTAGACCGATGGCATTTTTATTATATTGAGATGCCAGTTTCCATTGTTCTAATGCTAGATCAATTTTTAAATGAGGAGTTAATGTAACTATGTCAGATAGTTCCCAAATTTTCTTAAATCACTTCTAGTAGGTTGATAGTTACACTTCTATCCTTTTGTTAACCAAATTTGAAATTGGAATAACATGCAGTATCAGATCATATTAATCCAACGGAACAGTATCTTTTACACTATGCACAAGACGAGCATCTCTTATCCAGAATTTTGAAATCTAAAAATAGAAAAAAAGTTGTTACTATCTTAGCTATCTGAAATGGCCGCATGGATGGCCGAGAAAGTAATGAACTTTTTGATGGTTCATTGTACCCAAAATTTGTTTCATACAGAAAAGTATTTAAAGTATTGCAAATAAAACAACCTCTAGGCTATGTATACAAGGTATAAATGAAACATACATTAAGATATCTTATTATGTAGGTCCGTGTAAATTTGAAAATCCCAAACATATTTGGTCTCAAGCATTTTAGATAAGAGATACTCAACCTGTACTATACATTACAAGGACTATGTGAAAGTAAACATTTTCTAAAATAATTTGGCCATGTACAAAGTGAATCTCCCCTTGCCATTGCCTAGCACTCATACTTCCTCATACTTCCTGAACTCAGTAAGAGTGTCCCCAGATCTGAAAGAGATCCTTTCAAACAGATACAGACCTACCATGTAATAAATGTAGATGGCTATCTCAGGGAGAACGTTAGAAATAGCAGAAAAGATGGAAGACAGAGCTGACCCAGAGGGCCAATCTACTAGGAAGTTATCCCAAGCAAAAATATTGCTGATATAAACAGAAGTTGCACATCACTCTCCCTTGTACTGGCAGAACTGCTGACTGAAAGATCAACAGTTCGAATCCAGGGAGGAGGGTGAGCTCTCATCTGTCAGCTCCAGCTTCTTATGTGGGGACATGAGAGAAGCTTCTCACAGTATGGCAAAATATCTGGGCGTCCTCTGAGCAACATCCTTGCAGACGGCCATTTTCTCAAGTTGCTCCTGATATGAAAAACGCAGCTAGCTTTACTTTTCATGAGGCTTATTGCCTATATGTGATTGAAAAGATGAAGGTTAGATCAACACTTCTGGCTTAACCTTGTTTTGGGACAAATCAATTTCTGAGATGGCTTGAAACTGGCCTTTGTTGGCTTGTAGCTCCCAAAATTCTTCATTCGCTTTGCTGGCTAGGGCTAATGGGAACTGCAGTCAAAATTGGCTACTCTTCGCCACTCTAATAAGGCATTGCTTATCACCTTCTTTTCCCCCTCCTGGGTCAATTGTATGAACAACAACGTTCATCTTCTTATAACATCTTATGCAATTTGTACAGGAGCGCTCCTACATCCCAGATGACCAACGGCAGTCCAACAAGAACTCTCAGTCTGCCATTTGTTCCTCTGAAAACATCCCTGCACCCACAGGAAAGGACGACGCACAACAAAAAACAGTAAGTAGATTCCCATATTGCCTTATTCCACAGAACAGCTGTGCCAATGTCCAGAATGTGGAATCTTGTATTTCATGTGCACAAATTCTCATTTCCCCTAAGATCTAGGAATGGTTTATCAATTAAACTATTTGAATGCAGATACTGAGAAATCTGTTTAATATACTCTTGTCTGTTTCCACAGTACATCCCCTGTATCTGCAGAACATATATCCACTGTTTCATTTATCCACATAGACAACATATGTCCTTTCTAGAGATTTTCTAGGTCCTCTAGTACAACTCTAAGGTATTATTGGGTCAGAGGTCCTTCATTTTACTATGGTTCACTATTATCTATGTGAACTCCATGGATACTGGGGTCATACTGTCATCTTCTCCCATCAACCCTTCTGAGAATATGGATAATTAAACTCATTATTTATTTATTTATTTAGTATATTTGTATACTGCCCCTCTCAGAATCAGATCCCCTGCAACACAGGTGTCAAACACAAGGCTGGAACAACTACATGGCGGCACTGGAAATTGTTTTAATGAGTATCTATTAAATTATGTTTTATTATAGTGTTATGATTTTATGACGTTTTATATTGTATATTGTAAATTGTGTTTTTGGTGGCATTGAATTTTGCCTTGTAAACTGCCTTGAGTCACTGGAAGGCTGAGAGGGGCCACCACTGAAAAGGCCCTGTCTCTCATCCTTGCCACCCGTGCTTGTGATGATGGTGGGACCGAGAACAGGGCCTCTCCAGACGATCTTAAAGTCCTCGCTTCTTCTTGTTCTTGGGTACCACCTTGAACAAACACATTTACACCACTTCTACAGGTCCTGGAAGTCTCTGAAGAATGAAATATGACGTTCTAAGATCTACTTGCACACTCAAATATTACTTAAGACCTGTGTTCTCACTCTTAAGAATTGTGGTGGAAAACATGAATGCATTCATTCAGCTCTTCTTAAACTGCTGATCTCTTTCTTTCTAGGACATGGAGTTGCTCAGGTTTTCGCTCACCCTCATTCAGTCATGGCTAAGTCCTGTACAGCACCTCAGTAGGATGTTCACTAATACTCTGGTCTTTGGTACATCAGATAGAGTCTATGAAAAACTTCAGGACTTGGAACAAGGAATTCTGGCTCTGATGAGGGTAAGCCAAGTCTAACAAGGGTGTCAAGAGCCATGGTTAAATAATGGCTTTTCTATAACTTTGGGTTCTGCTCCTTCCCTTCCCAAAAATATCTACATAACCATACAGGAAAATAGTTTTCTTATACAAACTATGCCCTTAGGATTGGGACTTTTTCACTTTAGAAATATACTGGACTGACCATACTAGAAATACAGTAGACTTTAGAAATATATTACAGTGATAGTTATAAAAATCAGAAATGATTTGGAGACTTTGGGTGCAGCTACATCAGGCATGGCAAACTTTGGCCCTCCAAGTGTTTTGAACTTCAACTCCCACAATTCCAAACAGGCTGTTAGGAACTGTGGGAGTTGGAATCCAAAACACCTGAAGGCTGAAATTTGCCCATGGCCAAACTACATTATAAAATTAATACAGTTTGATACCACATTAACTGCCATGGCCTAATGCTATGTTACCATGGAAGTTGCAATTTTCAAGGTCTTTAGCCTTCTCTGCCAAAGAGTGCTGGTGCCTCTCCAAACTACAGTTCCAGCAATTCCATAGAATTGAGCCATGGCAATTAAAGTGGTATCAAACTGCTGCAATATAGGAGCACCTTAATTACCCTATTTTCAAGAAATGCATGGCCATTCCCTTTTCCTTGTGTGTCTATTTTATTTAGAACTATCCATCCCCTGCCATGTGTTGCTGTGGCCCAGTCTGTGTATATGTGTTTTGTGCGTGTATATATGTGGTTTTGCGCATGCGTTGTAATGTATTTTTATATTTCTTTTGGCTTTTTAAGTCTCTTCTGCTGTGTTTTTCAGTGTTTTTATGAGTGATGATAGGTGTATTGTGTCTAAATTTGGTGTCAATTCATCCAATGGTTTTTGAGTTATGTTAATCCCACAAACGAACATTACATTTTTATTTATATAGATGTAAGGCTGAGAATAAAGAGCTGTCAAATTAAGAATTTGTTAGGAACTATCAAGTGCTCTTGGGTGCTTTTGTGGCTGAAGACATGGAGATAAATAATCAAATAAATAAATAGTTAATAAATAAATGTGCCAAAATACATTTTGAAAAACCTCCATTTAACTCTTTTGTGAATATTCACAGGAACTGGAGGATGGGAGCTCTCGGGGACTTCAGCTTTTCAGACCTATTTATGAGAAGTTTGAATCCAATCTCCGGAACGAAGGCTCGTTGCTGAAAAATTACGGTCTCCTGTCCTGCTTCAAAAAGGATCTGCATAAGGTGGAGACCTACTTAAAAGTGATGAAATGCAGGCATTTTGGGGAAATTAACTGCACAATCTGAAGGCAGAAAGTTTCTACCTCTCCATCACTTCACTTCTTGTGTTTCCTAACACCTGCTGGAGTGACTGTATTGCTGATCCCTCTGTTATAATTTCCTGCAACCCTGAGTCAAATCAATAAAATGTACTGCCTTTTCTAGCTCTGTTGTTCTGAGGGCCATCTGTATACTGTATACCTTTATATTTGTAAAATGTATGTGCAATTTTACCTCTGAATAATAAATGCTGTAAGCCTAGCCTATGCAAATGCTATCTGACTGCAAATAAAAAAAAGCTTTCATTTTCAAATAATCACAATCTCAAATTGATAACTGCACATTATGAAAGCAATAAACAGCTTTCCACTCTACTTTCCTATCACAATGTAAAACACAATGTAAAACAACCCTATGACAATACTAGATTACATATTTTAAAGAAAATTCTGGGAGACTGATTCTACCAATGGCCATAATAACTATGGGAAGATTTATATTGCCATAGAATGCAATTTGAATTGCATTGAATGGCATTATATGGATCTACACTGAACATATAATGCAGTTCAATCTGCATTACATTCCAGTATAGATCCAGCCTACTGTAAATGCAACCTACCAGTCTAGAAGCAGTATATCTAGAACAGTGTTTCTCAACCTGGGGGTCGGGACCCCTGAGGGGGTCGCGAGGGGGTGTCAGAGGGGTCGCCAAAGACCATAAGAAAACACAGCATTTTCTGATGGTCATGGGGATTCCATGTGGGAAGTTTGAGCCAATTCTATCGTTGGTGGACTTCAGAATGTTCTTTGATTGTAATGAACTATAAATCTCAGCAACTACAAGTCCCAAATGTCAAGATCTATTTTCCCCAGACTCCACCAGTGTTCACATTTGGGCATATTTAGTATTCGTGCCAAGTTTGGTCCAGATCCACCATCGCATGAGTCCACAGTGCTCTCTGGATATAGGTGAACTACAACTCCCAAACCCAAGGTCAATGCCCTTTCCAGTGTTTTCCATTGGTCATGGGAGCCGAGTTTGGTTCAAATCCATCGCTGGTGGAGTTCAGAATGCTCTTTGATTATAAGTGAACTATAAATCCCAGCAACTACAACTCCAAAATTACAAAATCAATCCTCCCCCAACCCCACTAGCATTCACATTTGGGTGTATTGGGTATTTGTGCCCAGTTTGGTCCAGTGAATGAAAATGCATCCTGCATATCAGATATTTACATTATGATTTATAACAGTAGTAAAATGACTGTTATGAAGTAGCAACAAAAACAATATTATAGTTGGGGGTCACCACAACATGAGGGACTGTATTAAGGGGTCACGGCATTAGGAAGGCTGAGAACCACTGATCTAGGAGGATGTGGACTTACCTAACACATCTGGCTGGTTAATACTAGAAACATGACACTGGACTACAGTCATTTGGGAGTTGTAGTTGCTGGGATTTATATTTCACCTACAATCAAAGAGCATTCTGAACTCCACCAATGATGGAATTGAACCAAACGTAGGATAACAAGACTCCCATGACCAACAGAAAACACTAGAAGGATTTCGAGGGCATTTACCTTGAGTTTGGGAGTTGTAGTTCACCTACATCCAGAGATCACTGTGGACTCAAACAATGATGGATCTGGACCAAACTTTACATGAATACTCAACATACCCAAATGTGAACACTGGTGGAGTTTGGGGAAAATAGAATCTTGACATTTGGGAGTTGTAGTTGCTGGGATTTATAGTTCACTTACAATCACAGAGCATTCTGAACCCCACCAACGATAGAATTGGGCCAAACCTCCCACACTGAACCCCCATGTGGGCCACAGCAACGCGTGGCAGGGGACGGCTAGTCTATATAAATAAAAATGTAATGTTCGTTTGTGGGATTAACATAACTCAAAAACTACTGGGCAAATTGACACCAAATTTGGACACAATACACCTGTCAGGCCAACAAGTGATCATCACTCATTAAAACACTGAAAAACACAGTGGAAGAGACTTAAAAAGCCAAAAAATAAAAATTACATAACACATGCACAAAACCGTATATATATATACACACACACATACACATATATACACACACACACAAAACACATACACACAAACTGGGCAACAGCAATGTGTGGCAGGGGACAACTAGTAGCTTTATAAACAAGCACCTTGGCATCCCTACGGATGTCCTGGTCCTAAACACTCTCTGCTTCATTCGGAAAAAAGCTGCACTCACAGAGCTCAGGCGGTGCTGTATTTCAGTGTCAATGTTGACCTTTGTGGACATATATTTTGTGCCAAATATTTCAGTTCAAAGCAGAAAACGTGGGATTTTATTCAAGGTCCCTCAGATAACTAAGGGCCCTTCCAATATGGCTCTGTTGTTGTTCATTCGTTCAGTCGTCTCCGACTCTTCGTGACCTCATGGACCAGCCAACGCCAGAGCTCCCTGTCGGCCCGTCACCACTCCCAGCTCCTTCAAGGTCAGTCCAGTCACTTCAAGGATGCCATCCATCCATCTTGCCCTTGGTCGGCCCCTCTTCCTTTTGCCTTCCACTTTCCCCAGCATAATTGTCTTCTCTAGGCTTTGCTGTCTCCTCATGATGTGGCCAAAGTACTTCAACTTTGTCTCTAGTATCCTTCCTTCCAGTGAGCAGTCGGGCTTTATTTCCTGGAGGATGGACTGGTTGGATCTTCTCGCAGTCCAAGGCACTCTCAGAACTTTCCTCCAACACCACAGCTCAAAAGCATCGATCTTCCTTCGCTCAGCCTTCCCTAAGGTCCATCCGTAGGTTACTACAGGGAATACCATGGCTTTGACTAGGCGGATCTTTATTGCCAGTGTGCTGTCTCTACTCTTTACTATTTTATCGAGACTGGACATTGCTCTCCTCCCAAGAAGTAAGCTTTTTCTGATTTCCTGGCCACAGTCTGCATCTGCAGTAATCTTTGCACCTAGAAATACAAAGTCTGTTACGGCCTCCACATTTTCTCCCTCTATTTTCCAGTTGTCAATCAATCTTGTTGTCATAATCTTGGTTTTTTTTTATGTTTAGCTGCAACCCAGCTTTTGCGCTTTCTTTTTTCACCTTGATTAGAAGGCTCCTCAGCTCCTCCTCGCTTTCGACCATCACAGTGGTATCATCTGCATATCTGAGGTTGTTAATGTTTCTTCCAGCAATTTTCAACCCAGCTTTGCATTCATCAAGCCCTGCACATCACATGATGTGTTCTGCATACACGTTAAAAAGGTTGGGTGAGAGTATGCAGCCTTGCCGTACGCCTTTCCCAATCTTGAACCAGTCTGTTGTTCCGTGGTCAGTTCTGACTGTGGCTACTTGGTCCTTGTACAGATTCCTCAGGAGAGAGACAAGGTGGCTTGGGATGCCCATCCCACCAAGAACTTGCCACAATGTATTATGATCCACACAGTCAAAGGCTTTAGAATAGTCAATGAAGCAGAAGTAGATGTTTTTCTGAAACTCCCTGCCTTTTTCCATTATCCAGCGGATATTGGCAATCTGGTCTCTCATTCCTCTGCCTTTTCTAAACCCAGCTTGAACATCTGGCAACTCTCGCTCCATGTATTGCTGGAGTCTTCCTTGCAGGATCTTGATATATTAGATCTTGATATATTAGATACCAAAACTTCCTCATTATTTTCCAGATCAACACCGCAGTGAGTCGCCCCTGGGCTGAGAATTGCGGTATATAAGCGAAGTAAATAAATAAATAAATAAATAAACAGAGTGGGCCACAGCAACGCATGGCAGGGGGCAGCTGGTATCCCATAAAATCATGGCGGAAAATCCCACATTTTCTGCTTTGAACTGGAATATATGGCAGTGTGGACTCAGATAACCCAGTTCAAAGCAGATACTGAGATATTTTCTGCCTTGATATTCTGGGTTATAAGGCTGTGTGGAAGGGGCCTCAGGGCCCTTCAACAGCCCTATATTCCAGAATATCAAGGCAGAAAATCCCACAATATCTGCTTTGAACTGGGTTATCTGAATCCAGATAATGTAGGATGTTCTGCCTTGATATTCTGAGAGGTGTGGAAGGGCCCTCAGTTTGTGTTTTTTGAACGCTGGGGGGAAAATGCCTAGCCCTTCGTGGGCTGAGGAGGGGAAAGAGGCGTCTCCCGTTTCAAACAACACTCCTCCCCTTCGCTTCACATCCTTTCCCAGCCCTTTCAATGGCGGAGGTGGTCGAGTTCCGCGTCCCGCTTGGAAACGGCCGGACCCTGCTCGTCTTGGGCCTGGAAGAGGAGGCCTCGGAGGCAAGGCCAAAGCGGGAAAGATAGGGTGGGTGGGAGGCGGCGCGCCTTTCGCGAGGCCTTTCACTCAGGCTGACTGGCACTGACAAGCTATCTATTAGTCTCATATTAACACTATGTAACACAGTGGTCCTCAACCTTCCTAATGTCGTGACCCCTTAATACAGTCCCTCATGTTGTGGTGACCCCCAACCATAATATTGTTTTCGTTGCTACTTCATAACAGTAATTTTACTACTGTTATAAATCATAATGTAAATATCAGATATGCAAGATGTATTTTCATTCACTGGACCAAATTGGGCACAAATACCCAATATCTGAATACTGGTGGGGTTGAGGGGAGAGATTGATTTTGTCATTTGGGAGTTGTAGATGCTGGGATTTATAGTTCACCTATAATCAAAGAGCATTCTGAACTCCACCAGTGATGGATTTGAAGCATTCTGAACCCTACCAATGATGGAATTGAACCAAACTTGACACACAGAAGGCTCACGACCAACAGAAAACACTGGAAGGGTTTGGTGGGTATTGACCTTGAGTTTGGGAGTTGTAGTTCACCTATATCTAGAGAGCACTGTGGACTCACGCAATGGTGGATCTGGACCAAACTTGGCACAAATACTCAATATGCGCAAATGTGAACACTGGTGGAGCTTGAGGAAAATAGACCTTGACTTTGGGGAGTTGTAGTTGCTGGGATTTATAGTTCATTACAATCAAAGAACATTCTGAACTCCACCAACGATAGAATTGGCTCAAACTTCCCACATGGAATCCCCATGACCATCAGAAAATACTGTGTTTTCTGATGGTCTTTGGCAACCCGTCTGACACCCCTTCGCGACCCCCTCAGGGGTCCCGACCCCCAGGTTGAGAAACACTGATGTAACAGAATCTGGGGAAAAAAATGTTCTGTTCCTGAAGAAAACCCCACACTCTCTGCTTTGAACTCAGATATATGGCAGTGTGGACTCAGGGCCCTTCCACACAGCTATATTCCAAAACTGAATTATATGAACTGCATTACATTCTCTTAAGTGTGATGAGGTCATTGGTCATATAATGAACTGCATTCTGTGGTCAGGGTACTTACTTACTTAGGCGATCCCTCATTTTCCGAGGAGGATTGTCTTCCAGTGTTCTTGTGGGTCTGTATGTGACTGTGGAGCCCTATTCTTGCTCTGCATCTTCTTCCGCAGTGAGGGCATTGGTTTCCAGGTGGAAGGCGGTCTTGATCGGGGTTGGCTTTATGCGCCTTCCTCTTGGCACACTTCTCCCTTTCGCCCTCCATTAGTGCCTCTTCAAATTCTGCAGCACTGCTGGTCACAGCTGACCTCCAGCTGGAGCGGTCAAGGGCCAGGGCTTCCCAGTTCTCAGTGTCTATGCCAGAGTTTTTAAGGTTGGCTTTGAGCCCATCTTTAAATCTCTTTTCCTGTCCACCAACATTCCGTTTTCCGTTCTTGAGTTCGGAGTAGAGCAACTGCTTCGGGAGACGGTGGTCGGGCATCCGGACAACGTGGCCGGTCCAGCGGAGTTGATGGCGGAGGACCATCGCTTCAATGCTGGTGGTCTTTGCTTCTTCCAGCACGCTGACGTTTGTCCGCTTGTCTTCCCAAGAGATTTGCAGGATTTTCAGAGGCAGCGCTGATGGAATCGTTCCAGGAGTTGCATGTGACGTCTGTAGACAGTCCACGTCGCACAGGCATATAGCAGGGTTGGGAGGACAATAGCTTTATAAACAAGCACCTTGGTATCCCTACGGATGTCCCGGTCCTCAAACACTCTCTGCTTCATTCGGGAAAATGCTGCACTTGCAGAGCTCAGGCGGTGTTGTATTTCGGTGTCAATGTTGACTTTGGTGGAGAGGTGGCTGCCAAGGTAGCGGAAATGATCAACATTTTCTAATGTTACACCATTAAGCTGTATCACTGGCATTGGAGAGGGGTTGGCTGGTGTCTGCTGGAACAGCACCTTGGTTTTTTCAATGTTCAATGACAGGCCGAGCTTCTCGTATGCTTCTGCAAAGGTGTTTAGAGTGGCTTGTAGATCTTCTTCTGAATGTGCACAGACGACGTTGTCATCAGCATACTGGAGTTCTATAACAGATGTTGTTGTAACCTTGGTTTTGGCTTTCAGTCTGCTGAGGTTGAATAGCTTGCCATCAGTCCGATAGATGATTTCCACTCCGGTGGGAAGCTTCCCATCAACAAGGTGAAGTATCATAGCGATGAAGATAGAGAATAAAGTTGGGGCAATAACACATCCCTGTTTGACACTGGACTCCACCTTAAATGGGTCACTTTGGGAGCCATTGCTGTCCACAACAGTTTTATGGTCAGTGTAGACTCATATGATCCAGCTGAGTTCAATGCAGTTCATTTTGATTCCGAAATTGGATTATATGACAGTGTAGATGAGGGCCCAAGTGGCTTCCGGCTTCACGTTGAACCCCATCAAAGGTTTTTCTGGGGCTGAGAGTGAGTGGCCCCATCTACACTGCCATGTAATCTAGTTTCTGAAACCAGATTATTTGCTTTGAACTGGATCATATGTCAACGTAGACTCATATAATCCAGTTTCAAGCAGATAATCTGGATTCAGAAACTGAATTTATATGGCAGTGTAGATGCACTGCACGGCACACAGGTGATGCAGCGGATTAAACCGCTGAGCTGCTGAACTTGCTAACCGAAAGGTTGCAAGTTCAAATCTTGGCCCAGCCTTTTACATTTTTAAATTGCCTTGAACAGGCAGGATTACTTTTAATACATGTGTATCATGGCGACAATTTTTATGCTTATATTTTGTTTTGTTAATCTTATGGTTATGTTGTTTTTACTTTATATGCATTGTGATGTTGCCTGGGAATTGCTCAGAGTCCCCTCGGAGAGATGGAGTGGTATATAAATAAAGTTTTATTATATTATTATTATTATAAGGTTGGTGGTTCAAATCCAGGGAGTGGGGTGAGCTCCTGCTGTTAGGCCCAGCTTCTGCCAACCTATGGCCCGTCCAGACAGGGCCTTTATTGCTGAACACCTGCAATAAAGGAGGGGCTGTCCAGACAACATTAATTCACTACAAACCAGAAAAACTCTGGTTTGTAGCAAATTAATTTGTAGTGGATTTATTCCCTGCCTTCTTGAAAGGTGCAGGATAAATCAACTACCTCTTGTGTCTGGACTACAGTTTACTGGGATAAATAAGCCCGGTAAGCTTTGGGAATACCCAACCCTCTCCCTCCAAGCCCCCAGACCCTTTTGAAAAGTAAAAAAGAACTTACCAGGCCTTTGTACACGCCAGGAGAGCTGCTCCGGGGAGAAACTGCAGGCCTGGTAAGTTCTTTTTACTTTTCAAAACGGTTTGGGGCTTGGGGGGAGGGGAGTAGGGCCTCCACACGTGTAGACAACCCACCCCAGAAAGTGCTTGCTTTCTGGGGTGGGTATGGACAGCCCCCCAGAAACATCCACGTTTTATAACGCGGATGCTTCTGGAACGCAGGCCTGTCTGGATCCGACCCTAGCAGTACATAAACATACAAATGTAAGTAGATCAGTAGGTACCACTTCTGCATGAAGGTAATGGTAGCGCTCCATGCAGTCATATTGGCCACATGTCCTTGGAGGGGTCTATGGACAACACCAGTTCTTCGGTTTAGAAATGAAGATGAGCAGCACCCCACAGAGTCAGACACGACTAGACTTAATGTCAGGGGAAACCTTTACCATAGATGCACTGCATTGTCAAATTAATGAAATTTGACAACACTTGGACTGCCATGACTCAATACTACAAGATGTAGTTTTACAAGGTCTTTAGCCTTTTCTGCTACAAATCCCAGTACTCCAGAGCATTGAGCCATGGCAGTTCCAGGGGTATCAAACTGCATTAATTCTACAGTGTAGATGCACCCTCCAGTGAGTTTCCATGCTCGTGTGGGGTGCATCTCTTCTCTACTGTAGGGGTAATGCAGTTTGACACCACTGAACTGTCACGGTTGCATGGTATGGAATCATGGGAGGTGTCGTTCAATGGGGCATGAAACTTCACCAATGCAGGGTGCATGTCTATTGTAAGAATCATGCAGTTTGACATCACTTTCAATGGTATGGCTGAATGCTATGGAATTTGGGGAGTTGTAGTTTTACAAGGTCTTCAGCCTTCTCTTTGAAATGCTGCTGGTGCCTCACCAAACTACAACTCCCATGATTCCACAACATTCAGCCATTGTAGTCAAAGTGGTGAATGCATATTTTATTTTAATCAATGATCAGTTGTTAGTCTTGTCACTTAGTTTCTCCCCCTCCCCCATAAAGTAAGCAGTGAACATCATTCTCGATTATCTGTTTATGGGATACATTGTACGTGAATCCCTGAAAGAGTTGGTACATAATATCAATAAACACAAAGTCTTCACAAATGGTAAATATCAGATGCCTCAGGACTTGTCTTTAGTGTAATTTCACCCATTACTGGACTTTTTTTTTTTGCTCAGGAAAAAAGAGCCTTTATAAAGAAACTGGAAGTGGTCACTTCCAATTTCTATTCAAAAATAATGGTCACCTCCTATTCCCAAAAAAGTAGCCAAGATCAGGAGATTTAACTACCATCCAAGTATCATTTGCAGTGATGTCTCTCTCCTGATATTCCAAAAACATGCTTTTCAGAAACGCAACACCATCATTGCACAATGCCTTATTCTCCAGAGCTTCAGAAATCCTATTGTGGTCGAGCTGTGTAGCTACAAATATGGGAGGGGGAGAGAGAGAGAGAGAAAGAGAGACAACGATTTTTAGTTCTTTTAGTGGTGCAAAGAGTAAACCCGAATTCCAAAATATAATTAGGTTTTGGAGAGCACCGTTGGCCATTTTGGGAACCTGTGTGGGCCATGATTGGAACACAGTAATGATCCCGGATCCCCCAAAACTGCTTACCCTTGAATTATCAGAAAGGGATCTGTCCTCAGGAAAACTGAAGCTGGGGTTGACTCAGATGTTGCTGTTGTGTAAAGCTGGCAAGTGGTACTGTCCCATGAATGAGAATGAAATGCAGTCCACCGGGAAAGTATTGTAATATGATTTTCAAAGCAGCATGCTCAAGATGTCTTTTGGTGGGAAATTGCTTTATCCACGAACCATGGCCACATGCCAACCATTCTTCCAGTGCTAAGTTATCACACAGGAACCTCTCCAGTAGTGGATTGATGTTTCATCATGCTTTCAGCCCTTATATAAGTTACCAATTGGTCGTAACAAGTGATTTCTTAGCTGTTTTATATGTGTCCCTATTAATTTCCGATTAAAACCATCTTTTTATTTGCTTGTTTTTCCCTGCAGCATGCTTTGTATTTAGCATTCTCCACATTTGGTCCGCTCTATTCTGTGAAGGTTCACAGAAATGCTCCGGTCGCTAAGCCTGGTTACTATGCGCTTATCAAATTCTACTCTGTTAGAGATGCAAGAAGAGCACAGTGTGCTTGCAACCAGAAAGGCCTGTTTCAAACAACACCTTTGAAGGTATATGTCCATTTAATATAAACTCTGTCTGTTTGATATAGTGGATGGATAGTTATAGGGGATGTCTTTATGGGTGAATAGTGCTGTGATATATTTATTTTTATTATGTACTAGCTGTCCCCTGCCACGCGTTGCTGTGGCCCAGTCTGGTGATTTGGAAAATAAAGTAATGAGAAAGTGTTGGTTTCTAATATATGTAATTCCTTTATGCTTGTGAGTAAACAGTATTTCTTGTTGTTTCTTTGTCAGTGTTGATGTGGCGATTGTCTGGTTTGCCTAATCTGGAATATGCAACATATCATTGTCCTTCTTTAAGGGTCTCTTTCAAATCTATGATACTATATCTGTGTGTGTGTGTGTGTGTGTGAATCATATCTATCTATCTATATTTATGACTGGATGGCTCTTTGTCAGGAGGGCTTTGATTACATTTTCTTGCCCTGGTGAAGAGTTGGACTGAGTGGCCTTAAGTATTTTCTGTTGGTCATGGGGGTTCTGTGTGGGAAGTTTGCCCCAATTCTGTCATGTGTGGGATTCAGAATGCTCTTTGATTGTAGGTGAACTATAAATCCCAGCAACTACAACTCCCAAATGACAAAATCATTTTTTTTGAGTGAAGGACATACATTGGATTGTTAGGTGTCTTGTGTCCAAATTTAGTGTCAATTCGTCCAGTGGTTTTTGAGTTCTGTTAATCCCACAAATGAACATTACATTGTTATTTATATAGATTTATTTGAGATATTTCTCACTTTTTTCCAAAACGGGACTCAAAATGGTAATGTTTAATTTGTATTTTTTTGCAGTTTGAAGCATTTTTAAAACCAATACATTGATGTATTCATAGTTGGCAATATTTTCATCACAGAAATAAAAAATGATTGAGCTTTCAGATATTTTGGGCTACAAATCCCACAACCCCTTGCAATTGGCCATACTAGGCAATGCTGATGAAAATTGCAGTCTTTTCTGTCATTTAATAAGTATTAATGTGCTGTATGACAGAAGGATGATCCTATTGCCGTGCGAAATGTTGAGGATTTTTTTCTTCTTTTTTCATGTATGAGATGGATATGAGAACCAGTTCATGATAACTATCTGGTGCCTTTGCACTAAGACTGGGGAGATAACATCATTGTTTTCTGTAAATTAGAAGGACTTACAGAGATTCACACCACATGTTGTTTGTCTCTGAAACAAAACAGTTAAAAAGGTAGAAGAGTGCCAACAGTGGGTTTATTAACCCATTTTAAATGTGCTCATGCAGTTTCAAATGTCCAAAACTCAGAAAATTGATTTTTTTTCCTTGGAAAGTATCTCAGGGTGTTCCGTTTAAATCAAATTCTCTCTGTGTCCAGTCCTCTTGCAGAATGAGCAAATTGTCCCGTAACTTATTTGCATATCTGCCAAGGTAATCCTCACTGTGTCACCTTTCTTTTCTGAAGAAAAGCTCCTACCTGGTCGGTTTTAGTCATGAATTTTCAATTTGCACCTTGTATTTTACTCTGTTCTGTGTATTTTAATATGTATTTTTTAGAAATACATTTTAATATGTGTATTTTTAAATGTATAAGATGGTAATGTGTTTTAGCTATCTTGTAACCTGCCTCGGCTTATGAGGAAAGGTGGATAAGAAATACAATTATTATTATTACTATTAAACACATAGTTCTAACGTGATGCAAATTTTTTTTTCTAAGGCCCCTTCTACACTACCATGTAATCCAGATTATCAAAGGAGATAATTCACGTTATCTGATTTGAACTGGTTTATATGAGTCTACACTGCCATATAATCAATTCAGAGCAAATAATCTGGATTATCTGGCAGTGTAGAAGGGGCCAGAGAAGAGAAAACCTGCTTGTTTCAAGTCAAGCAAATCCTTTAATAATATCTAGGTCACCTTCTACACTGCCATATAATCCATCTTATCAAAGTATTGCAGTTTCTCAAGTCGCTCCTGACACGACAAAAAAAAAAATCTTTAAGAAATTTATACCCCAGCTTTCTCCACTTAAGGGGCCAAGGTGGTTTACAGCAGATAAAAACATGCATAATAAAAATTAAAACATTTTAAACCAAATATTAGTAGTTGTTGTCACACGTCCTAAAACATACATTAAACTATAATAAAACCTTAAAACTAACCCTACATATATCATATAATCCAGGCTCTTTCACATTACCACATTAAACCACATTACCTGCTTGGAACTTGAGTATGACCTCTTCTGCACTGCCATATAATCTAGATCAGGGGTCCTCAAACTGCGGCCCTCCAAGGTCATTTACCCGGCCCTCACTCAAGGTCAACCTAAGTTTGAAACGACTTGAAAGCACACAACAACAACAATCCTATCTCATCAGCCAAAAGCAGGCCCACACTTCCCATTGAAATACTAATAAGCTTATATTTATGAAAATTGTTCTTCATTTTAATTATTGTATTGTTTTGAAGTGAGTTTTTTTTTTTTTGCACTACAAATAAGATATGTGCAGAGTGCATAGGAATTCATTCATTTTTTTTCCAAATTATAATCCGGCCCTTCACCAATTTGAGGGTCTGTGACCTGGCCATCTGTTTAAAAAGTTTGTGGACCCCTGATCTAGATTATCAAAACGGATAATCCACATTATCTGCTTTGAGCTGGATTATATGAGCATACACTGCCATATAACACAGTTCAAATCTGGATTTTACATGGGAGTGTAGAAGGGGCCTATGTTCGGGATGGTGAGAACTTGTTTCTTCTTTACAAGAATATATCAAAATAAACAATTTTCTCTATAACCAGGATTTAAAAAATAAGATTTCAAAAATATAGATGTGGACAAAGCCAAAATCCATTGATGCATCCTTCCAGGCCCAAGTCTTTGACCCCTTCTACAATGCCATATAAATCCATAATTAAAACTCTGAATTTTAATTGCAGGGTATTTAATCATATTATTGCTCCAGTATAATTTAGTTCTTTATTTGAGTCATATCCCAGCTTTTCACTCAAGATGTCTCCAAAAGGTATTGCTAGTTCTTTTTTCCCTTGAGGCTCCTCAGCTTTAATATCTTGGTGGCAAGCAGGGCCAAGATGTTTCTTCCACCTGCTCAATTTGAGGAAGGATTGTATTTCCGTTCATTTTTAAAGGCTTTTCCACAGTTTGCAGACATCTTCATCTGCAGGACAGAAAGTACACAAAGCTTAGAAATCTGAGCGTAGAAGAAAGTTAAACTGACAGATTTTCCTGTCTTACTTTTTCATACTCAGGTTTCTATGTGTACCAGACAGCGAACTTTTCCACATCAACCTTTAGTGCTGAACAGCTACAAATGCAGAGAACTTGCCAATCACTACCTTGGCTTCAATGGCTGGTCCAGTCGCATCATCACTGTAAGGATTACTTGCAGTTTTTGTTTCCTATTTTCATACCATGTTCAGTAGGGATGTTATGGGTTTTTTCTGTTTTCCATCCAAGAATGAATGAAAAAAACTACGTACTATGTTGTAATCTGTTCAATACAGGTGTGGGTTCACCAATAGTTGAGCACTTGAGTGAAAGGTAGATGACAATTTTATTTTTACCAGACGACCGAGAAGACATTTAGTTTGTGCTTAACTACATATGCGGCTATTATAAAGATATTCATGGTTATTGTGGTATGTGTGACTGCATTTCAGCAAAATTGGCATGCAGAGTAGAAATGGGCAGAGTATTCGCCATTATTGCTCTTTGGTTGAAAAATGGATTTTCTGAGAGTCAAAAAATTCCAAGCTGTCTAAGCAGAGGGCTCGCTGGTTCATGGTCTGTCAGACTTTGGGGGAGGGGGGGGGACTACAATTTTAAAAATTGAATTCCTATGCAGATTGCACATACCATATTTGTAGTACAAAAACAATACAATCTTTAAAACAAAGACCCATTTTAATCAACATAAACTTACCAGTATTTCAATGGGCAGTGTGGGCCTGTTTTTGATTGATGAGATAGGCAAGTTAATTAGAATTGTTGTTGTTGTTGTGTACCTTCAGGTTGTTTCAGATTTTAAGGCAAGCCTAAGTCTAATGTTTATCTATCAAATATTAGGGAGTCCCCAGTTACGCAGGACTGACAGGTCGCAGGTTCAAATCCAGGGAGAGCGCAGATGAGCTCCCTCTGTCAGCTCCAGCTCCTCATGCGGGGACATGAGAGAAGCCTCTCACAAAGATGGTAAAACATCAAATCATCCGGGCATCCCCTGGGCAACATCCTTGCAGACGGCCAATTCTCTCACACCAGAAGCGACTTGTAGTTTCTCAAGTCACTCCTGACACAACAAAAAAAAATATCCAATATTAGAAGAATTAGGAAAGGCAAACTCTTGGATTTATGAGCGTTCCTTACCTCCTTCTTTGTATTCTTGCTTGAAGATTTTACATATTCTTAAATCATTTCACATACACTTAGGCATTTTTGTTGTTCTGGTTTTTATGGTGTTGTTTCATGTGTTTGTCTAGATAATTATGTTTGTTTAATTATTAATTTTATTTTCTGGGTTAGTAATTATTAATTTATGCTGATGTTATTTTGTACTGTTGGATTTATGTGGTTTATTTTTTTAAATCAGGGCATTCAATGTTTGCCTTTTTTCTTATCAGGAGGTCACCCTGAGTCTCCTTGGGGAGATAGAGCATCCTATAAATAATAATAATAATAATAATAATAATAATAATAATAATAATAATGCTCTCATGTGGGCATGAGATAGATGAGGATCTACCCTTCTAAAGCAAAGCATAAGAAGCCTTTAAACGGAGGCTGGATGGCCATCAGGGGTGATTTGATTTTTCTTTCCTTGTGTTGCTTTCACAATTCATTTTTGAAACAGCTCCAGAATATATCTGGTTTCGAAGAGGTTGAGAATGAAGAAGAAGAAGTAAGAACTTCACCCAGAAGCCAGCAGTCCAAATACCTGTGTATTCAAGAACTAACTATCCCTCAGCATGGGATCTGCACCAGAGGGGTTGGTGTGGCTGAGCTTGAGGTGGATCCTAGACAAGGTAAAAAAAAAACATGGTGGAGAAATATTTAGAATGAGATAAGCAGGGAAGTGAAATTGCAGTACTAGTATTTATTGTAAACTCCAGATTTTTGCAACTTGGCATCCTCCAGATGTGTTATATAATATCTCCCATTAAAAATCACTCAATAGACATTATTTTATGAAGTCCTAAAGGTTGGAGAGTGCTAATGAAGTATTTTCCTGTAAAGAATTAAGATCACGGGTGAAAGAAGATTTCCAGATCCCTTGTGAAACCTGCAGACGGCAGCTGTGAATAGTTGTGACTTAGTCAAGCATAAGCTACCATGTCAAATAAGTATGTTGTACCATGTACACAATTCCTGAGCAGTCCAGGGTTTCAAACCTATTTCCATCAAGGGCAACAGCCTTAGGGTTGCCTTCAAAGGGCCGTTGAATGCATGGATGAAGACTCATTGGATACAGAGGGCCAACTATATTTTTTTTTACACAGTAGTCAGTGCTCTTTAATTTTACCCCAGTGTTATTGAATGACAATTCCCATCATTATCCACCACGGGGACTAGGGATAGCCTTGGAATCTTGAGCCGTCATTAACAGTAACTATGACTGCTCCCCCCAGGGCCAACATTTGGTCTTTGCCTCTAGCGATACTAGGACCTGCTCTCATTTGCTGCCAACTCTGTGGCCACTATTCATCATTCTGATAAATTATCCAGCATTTACCAGCATTGCTGTCTGCCCCAGGGGACTCCACATCTTTGACTGGTTCGGGGCTTAATTTTTGACATTCTGAGGGATGTTTTTATCTTATTTAACCCATTGATTATAAGATCTAAGGGGTAAGAGGTCACGGGCTAGGAGCCATTGTGCAGCCATTGTTATTGAAATTACTCTGATAAGGTTTTATGAAAAACTCGTCGGCGCCCTGACATCGGCACCGGTGACTCCAGGAATTTATTTTCCATCCTGGAGGCTACCACATCATTGCTGCCGCCACCTTGGAGATCACTACCACCATCGCTGATATTAGAGGCTTCATTATTACTGGAGGCCTCCCGCATGCCTCAGCTCACATGGCCACAGCCTGCTATTGCTGTTCCTGCTCTCGGCTGTGATTAGTGCCTGATTGCTCAGATTCCCTCTTGCCACTCTTGTGAATCTCCATCATGGTGTGTGGAGGCTGATTTTCTCAGAGGCTTATCAACATCTACCATTGCTGCTGGGTTCCCTATAGCCACTTTACACCTACCTCTTGGCCGTACCATCATCGCCGGCTGCATTCAGAACTGTTTTCCATTGCGGCTCCTTCAACCCCCACCATCTTAGATGACAAATTAGGAAGACTGGTCTATGAACCTGGGCTACTTTGGGAATGGGAGGGTGCTTTCACCTTGCACTTATTTTTATATACTACCAATCTGATCTATATAAATGTATAATTTATATACTGCCAACCTAGCAGTTCGAAAACATGCAAATGTGAGTAGATCAATAGGTACCGCTCTGGCGGGAAGGTAACGGCGCTCCATGCAATCATTCCAGCCACATGACCTTGGAGGTGTCTATGGACAACGCCAGCTCTTCGGCTTAGAAATGGAGATGAGCACCACACCCCAGAGTCAGACATGACTGGATTTAATGTCAGGGGACAACCAACCTACCAATCTAATAACTTGTAAGCCAATCTCATAACTTGTACAAATAACTTGTAAGCCGTTCTGAGTCCCCTTCAGGGTAAGAAGGGTGGCATATAAATGTTGTAAATAAATAGAGAAATAAAAAAGGGAGTTGCAATCCAACAGCACTAGTTGAGGAAAACCTAAAATATATTTGAAAGATATTTCCACAAGTCTTGAATCTAAATTCAAACCCCACTATCCTGACTAAACAGAACAAACCACAGCTTTCCAGATTACAACTCCCATCAGTTCTAGTCATGATGTCTCATGATGAGGGTTTATATCCCCACTTGGTGATGGAAATTCTACTTTTCAAAGGAATCTCACATTCTTCAGTTACATCTTATGTGGGCTATGTAATGGATAAACAAGGGTACTTGCCTTGAGTAAAGTTTGGAAACTTCAGCTGATTCAAAATTGCTCATAGTTTTGACTAGATTTACTTTAGATATGTCTTCTTTGTTTCTCTAGGTCATGAGTGAGCAAAGTGTGGCTGTATGAATATTGTTGGACTGCAATTTCCAGTATTCTTTACCACTGGTCATATTGGTTAGGAGTAATGGGAGTTTCAGCACAACAACTTGAGAGTTGGGTCACTGTTCTATGCACACCGGTATTTGCCTCTTTCTGGATTCGCTTCACCTTCACAGTTACTACCTTTGACAATGTAAATAGTTTGATCTCAGGATATCTGGAGGCCTCTCTCTGCTTTGATGTCAACCTGCCTGCCTTCTGAGATCAACTGAAGAATCTCTGACCTGTGCTATATTTTTTGAGTCTTGTTGGGCAGGAATGGCAGTGAAGACTGTCTGTGGTGGCACCCGGCTTCTGGAATTTCCTGTTCCAGTTGACTCCTACCGCCTTCTTTTTTTTAGTTTGCCACCATATTAGACTTATTTATTCCAACAGCCATTTCACTTATTTGGTTAGCATGATGCAATAGATACATTCCTCTTTTTATTTTAATTAATGTCATATTTTTTAAAAATGCTAACTCATTTAATGATATTTTTATTTATGTACTGAGTGCATTAGGCATCTATTAGATAGGTAAGTAGTAGATAAATTGTTTTTCAAAACCTTTTTAAAGAGTGCATGGAAGTTTATATGTGATCCCTTCCATTCTGGACCTGTACATCATCTCAGCCGTGGGCCATGGCTGTTAAAATGGTGTCAAACTGCATTACTTCCACAGTGTAGATGCACTCTTTAACTGCCATGGCTTGATGCTATGGAATCCGGTGATTTCTAGTTTGGTGAGACACCAGTTCTTTGGCTGAGAAGGTGCCATACTATTGTTCAGCCTCAACGTTTTTGTATATGTGTGCCCCCCCCCCCCTCCCGGCATGGGAAATCTCAATTCCACAATCCTTGTTTTAATGAGCCCCCCTCCACAAATAACCTGCTTCTCCTTCTATCTCACCCGTGTTTTTAATCAGTTTTTAATCAGTTTTTTAAATCATTTTCTCGCACATGTAGCCGCCCATTGTCACTGTGACTGTGTTTATTGTAATCTTATATCCTTAATGTATTCATGTGTTTTATGTAATTATGATGTTGTTGTTTGTTGCATGTGTTTTTGGTTTTATTTTACTGTATTTTGTTGATTGGTCTTGGCCTCATGTATGCCGACCCGAGTCCCCATTGGGGAGATGGTGGCGGGGTATAAATGATGATGATGATGATGATGATGATGATGATGATGATGATGATTAGTTAAAGTGGTGTCATACGTCATAATTAACTGCAGTGTAGGTGCAGCCTGAGCCACCCAAGGTTTCTCATTGTGTTTTATGGCTGAGTAGGAATTTGAACTCATGTTTTCCTTTTCCAAGCCCACTATGGTATCCATATCTCCAGTGTTTTAACATGCTATAGCTTAGACCAGAAATTGACTCTCTTGCCAAATCCAAGCAAGAGAAAGTGGTTATTTAGATTTATAAGCAAAGCTATAGCATTCTCAAGATGGTCAAACTATAAATAAGATTAATCATTGCTGCAAAGCTCTGAGCTCCTAACAGATACACAACCAAATCTTGAACCAATCTGCTCTTCTATCTTTCAGGGTTTCATATGGCTACTCACAGCATCCAGAAGCTTGCTGTACAAAGGGCCCTCTCAGATGCATTTCAGAAGATATTCTTGGTAGTTCTAGGTAAGGCCATTTTTACAGTAAACATTTCACTTTCTTGGGTCTTTTCTCAAGCCTCTTTCCTTGGTATTAAATCATCAGATGTCCCAATCTATGCAGCTCATCACTATGATCGTGCTACGTTTATTTTCTGTTCCATACATTGCCACTTTGTTTCTTCTGATGTCCTCCCCAAAGTTGCCACCATTCTTTTGCTCTCTGTTATCTCTCTGCATTTTACATTCTTTCTATCCCCACTTCCCCTGTTAACTCTTATTCTCTGGAAACATAAAATGTCTTTTTCCATTCCCTGGCTCTGTGTGTTTGCAAATAATTTTTCCTTTTAGTAGATCTCCTTGGTGTACTTAAAATACTTTATTAAAAACACGTGTTTTTACAGTCACACTGGAGAATGCCAGATAAGAATCAATCAGGGCCAGCTAACACCTCCCAACAAAGGACCCCCAGGCAGCAATCAGCCAGATTTTGAAGCTACAAGGCCATTACTTGCTAATCAAGGTGGCCAATTGCAACATTCACACTTGCCTTAAACAGACAAGAGTTCTTTCTCCCACCCTGGATATTAAACAGATATATAAACCTCACTTGCCTAGCTTCCAACAGACCTCACAACCTCTGAGGATGCCTGCCATAGATACGGGCAAAACATCAGGAGAGAATGCTTCTGGAACATGGCCACACAGTCTGGAAAACTGTGTGGCCAACCCAGTGATTCCTGCCATGAAAGCCTTCGACAATATTATACTAGTCTCCAGTCTAGTACTGAAAACCAAGCTTTCATAGATTTTGTTCAAAAGAGAGATAACCATTATGATAGATATAAACGATGTGTGAAAAAATATGCGTATTATATAAGAACTGATAAATTCTTTAATAAGAAACTGATTACTCAGAGGACAGTGGGAAGTCTATATATTTTTTTTTCTTTCTTCTCCTTTCCTTTCCTATTTCTCTCACTTCACCATTTCACCCATCTGTCTTTGACTGAAAGACATGTTTTCTTCACTTTCACTGTAAAAATAACTAAAATGCACAATGAAAAATAAATTTTAAAAAAACCAAGCTTTGGCTTGTTCATACATTTATTGTATTGCTCCCTTTGATTTATAATCCAGAAGGCAAAGTGTGGATTTTTAAATATTTATTCTGTGTATTTATCTTTATTATTCACTCTAGGAATAATAAAATTATTATAATAATCTAATTTATAAAATTAAATAAAGGTGTTCAGATTTATTTCAAAATATTTAAATATCATTTAATTGGTTATAGATTTGTTCAGGCCAGGCTTTGTTTGTTTCTTTGTTCAGAGAATGGAAAGGTGGCTGTGGAGTATAGCTCTTCCCAGGATGACCCCATTGATTATCTAGCAGAAGAGGAGTTTAAAGGCCTCATCCAGGTAATTGAAGCATAATCACATGCAGCAGTGGGCAAGTATTAGGTGCTAGAGGGCTGTATTCGCCCCTCAAAAATTCACAACAACACCATATATCCCTCACTGCAAAAAAAAGGGTACATTTTCTGCCCCCAAATACTGTATGAATGGGGAACATTGGCCATTCTTTTGTCCCCCAAGACCATTTAGGCTCAGCAGAGGGTTGTTTGTTTGTTTGTTTACAATAGGAAATAAGATATCTCTTTCACCTCCTGTTTTTTAAAATTACTTTCCCTGGAACTTAAACAGTCCAGGGAGTAGGTAGTGATGGTAGAGTAATTCCCCCTAGAAGACATTGAAGGTCGCTTGGGGAAAAACAATGTATTCCAGAAGTCAGAAATGCAGTTCTTGGGGCTGCATGTGGGATTGATGCACTTCCCCACTCCTAATGTTTGCGCAGGACCTCAAGTTGCTTTCAGCAACAACATTATCATTTCTGAACATCTTAGATTCATATAGATTAGATAAAGTGAACAGAAACATTGTTCTCTTTAGAACATCTGATCAACTATAGCATTTTCTGCTGGCGTATTCATGTTAGGTTCGGAGAATAAAGTCAGGCAGATACTGTGGAGGCATTAACCAGGTTGGTGACAGTGCAAAGGAGGGTCTGGAGGCTTTCTTTTGATAACATTCTACCCACACGGAGAAGCATACATGTGTCTGTGCATTTTTGTATCCTTCAGTTGTATGAAACTTTCTCTCCTGACTTCCTAGATGTGGAAGACTATGTGGGTTGGCACGGCAAATTTTCAGTTGCAGTTACTTTAATTCCACCCACCCAACTAGTTGCAGAGGTGGTACCAGGATCCAGTGTATAATTCACGACCCATTCTGATCATTCCAAATAGTTCTTCATGTAGTGAATGAGCCCTGGAATTCGATCTACAAGTCTGCTAGTGCATTTAATATGCTGGATTTAGATAACAGTTAAAGTACATCTATTGAAAGCAATGGGACTAATAGATGTCACATTGGTCTAAGTGCAGAACTAACCCAATACTAAGTAGATCTTGTGAGATACAGGTCATTTTACAGTTGACCATGGGGTGAGGCAACATCTGAAGAGGAAGCAAAGGGGAGAATATCTCTGTTCAAACAGAGCAGATCTCCTAAATGCTGAGACCTGACCTTGAGCAATCCATGATAAGGCAGGCGAAAGCATGGGATGGGCACACACACTCTCTTATAAGGGGAACCATTTCTCAGATTGTAATTGAGGATATCTATGCAATGTTGTTGTTCTCCGTGTTTGGATTTCTCACCTAGATCTTCTGGGATAGGCTGGGGACTAACAGAAGCAGAATTTGTACCAGACAAGCAACACAGAAGTTCTTTCCTTCCCTCTGGAATTATACCTGTGCACACTAGAATTTATAGATTCTGAACAAATCATTTCTGCTTCCCTACATGTACTGTGTTCACAGCTACCAGTCTCAAGTTCCTTGCGAATGAGGGACATGAGTTCAAAGCCAGCCTGGTTCAGAGTGAGCTCCCAACCAATTTTGTGTAACTTGCTGTCGACCTTTGCAGCCCGAAAGACGGTTGCATCTCTCAAGTAGGACATTTAGGTACCGCTTATGCGGGGAGGCAAATTTAACTAATTTACGAGGTCATAAAAATCTCCAGCAAGCATGCAAAGAATGAGAAAGTACAAATGGTCACAAATGGTCGATGAAGGAACAGCTCCCCTGGTGGCCGGAATACTCTCAAGAAAAAGCTGGAATGTTAAATGTTATGTTGTGTGTCTATAGCATTGAATGTTTGCTATGTATATATGTACACTAGCCGTCCCCTGCCATGCGTTGCTGTGGCCCAGTCTGGTGATCTGGAAAATAAAGTAATGAGAAAGTGTTGGTTTCTAATATATGTAATGTCTTTATGCTTGTGGGTAAACAGTATTTCTTGCTGTTTCTTTGCCAGTGTTGATGTGGAGATTGTGGTTTGCCTACTCTGGAACATGCAACATATCATTGTCCTTCTTTAGGGATCCCTTTCAAATCTTTGATACTGCATCTGTCATATACATATATGTGTGTGTGTGAATGGCTGGATGGCCCTTTGTCAGGAGGGCTTTGATTATGTTTTCTTGCCCTGGTGAAGGGAGTTGGACTGGATGGCCTTAAGACAGCATTTCTCAACCTGGGAAGTCAAGACCCGGGGGGGGGTCACCAGGGGGGTGTCAGAAGGTCACCAAAGACCACCAGAAAACACAGTATTTTCTGTTGGTCATGGGTTCTGTGTGGGATGTTTGGCCCAATTCCATCATTGGTGGGGTCGGAATGCTCTTTGATTGTAGGTGAACTATAAATCCCAGTAACTACAACTCCCAAATGTCAAGGTCTATTTCCCCAAACTTCATCTGTGTTTATATTTGGGCATATTGAGTATTTGTGCCAAGTTTGGTCCAGATCCATCATTGTTTGTGTCCACAGTGCTCTCTAGATGTAAGTGAACTACAACTCTAAAACTCAAGGCCAATGCTCACCAAACCCTTCTAGTGTTTTCTGTTGGTCATGGGAGTCCTGTGTGCCAAGTTTGGTTCAATTCCATCGTTGGTGGAGTTCAGAATGCTCTTTGATTATAGGTCAAGGGTCCTCAAACTAAGGCCCGGGGGCCGGATGCGACCCTCCAAGGTCATTTACCCGGCTCTCGCTCAGGGTCAACCTAACTCTGAAATGATTTTAAAGCACACAACAACAACAACAATCCTATCTCATCAGCCAAAAGCAGGCCCACACTTCCCATTGAAATACTAATAAGCTTATATTTGTTAACATTGTTCTTCATTTTAATTATTGTATTGTTTTTAAGTGTTTTTTGCACTACAAATAAGATATGTGCAGTGTGCATAGGAAATCATTCATATTTTTTTCAAATTATAATCCAGCCCTCCAACAGTTTGAGGGACTGTGACCTGGCCCTCTGTTTAAAAAGTTTGTGGACCCCTGTTATAGGTGAACTATAAATCCCAGAAACTAAAACTCCCAAATGACATAATTACATAATAATCATAATTTTTGAGTGATGGTCACTTCTTGTATTGTGAGATGTTTTGTTGCCAAATTTGGTGTGATTTTGTTCATTGGTTCTTTTGTTTTTAAGGTATCATTATGCACAGAGCATTTATATATATATATAGATTGTAATCCACACTGAGTCCCCTGCGGGATGAGAAGGTTGGAATATAAATACTGTAAATAAATAAATAATAAATGACTGTAGGATCTGTGTGGGAGTGGACTGTGTCAAAAATATGTACTTAGCCCTCCAAAATTATTTTTGGGCTTTGCTCTGAGAAAGCGGAATGGCGTAGATGGAATGGTTGAAACTGCTCTGGTTTTTGTTGTTGTTGTTTCAAAATAACCAGAAATCAATTTTTCTTTCCCTTCAGGTGACTGACTTGTCCCTTTCAGGCCTGAACCATGAAGGAGAAGAGGAGATCTTGTCTGATCTTAGTGTAGATGAAGAATAGCATCTGAGACATATACTGACAACATGTTTCTTTCTATGTTCTAGAAAAGCAATATACTCCATCCTAAGCATGTTACATTACTGGAGAGCTGGTTCTGTTTCAGTGAACTGGTGTGTGCGTTTAATGGCACCAATCAAATGGAATAACTTATCTATTATGTTTCATAGAGATTTGCAGGGCTGGGAGAGGTGTTTATTTTATTTTATTTTTGGAAATTATTTTATTTTTCTAATAAATGTGTTATCTTGGCAACAACAAAACTCAGTTGTGTTTCTTTCATTCAGAGACAGCAGTTTGTTCCTAGTGAGACAAATATGAGCCTTTTTTGTATGTTGGAGATTTGTAAGTGGCTTTGCAGAAACATTGTTTTAAAGTGACAGATTTCTTCTCTTCTTTACACAGGTTTAAAAAAGCTTCAAGGTTATGTGTCAGTGGTTAACATGATTGAAAAGTATAGGCTAGAATTTTTTGTTGCTATGTGTTCTCAAGCCATTTCTGATTTATGGCAACTCAAAGGTGAACCTAACTTGAGATTTTTTTTTAGGGCTGAGAGTTTGTGACTCACTCAAGGCCAATCAATGGGTTTCAGAGACTGAGCAGGGAATCAAATTCTGGTTTCTTGAGTCATACTCTGATGCTCAAACCACTACATCAGAGGTAAGAACAGGCCATTCAGCCCAGTTCTCCAATTGTATGGTATGATCATTCATGGTATGATCATTCATCATTCAGCTCCAGATCACTGGAAGTCACAACCCAAAATAGAAGCACTACATTCATGCCAAAGTATCTCAAGCACATCAGACTTGTTGTCTTTACTACAAGGTTGCCATAGCTACACCAGTTCTTATGATGTCAAAAGTAGTTCTAAGATGATGTCACAACCAACCAGGATGCTTAGAATGTGCGCACGGAGAGGCTTCTCGAAGAAGTCATAAGATCCAGGGAAGCCAGACATGGGATGGTGATGTAGTGGCCTCCTCCCAAGATTATGGAGAGGCTTGTGGCTCTGGTTGCTTGGTAACCGCATGGAGTCACCACCAGTGGTGGCCACCATTTTCCAAGACATCCTCTACTGGAGTCAAATGAGCAAGAGGGGAGCGGGGCCTGGTATCCACTCTGTAGCATGGGCCCCGTGGCTACCTCTAATACTCACTTTTTCTTCTTGATCGCACTAGTGTCTTTCGCAAGGTTGGACACGGCCAATGAGCCTTGCCCAATCCCGTGCCGTTGCACCGTGGAAATCCTCAACTGTAGCAGGACCGCCAACCCTCCCGGGCTCCACCGGGTGCCCTTCCCCAAGGCGGTTGGCCACCCCCCTGTTTTCTTCTTTTTGTAAGTATCTGAGACAGATAATGAGATGCCAACGTATTTTTAATGATGTATTGCTTGTTATTTTATCAGACCAGAGAGTACCTACAAAATCTATTGCTTAATTTAGGGAGGAGTCACTAATGCCAAGTTCAATACCAGCTCTTGTTGGGTTTTTTTAACTAATAATTTTTATTCGGGGAAATTATAGTGATACAATAAAACAGGAGGAACATTATAAGTATATAGGAAAGTAGGAAGGTTGAAGGATAAAACTGTAGTCCAAAAAAAAGGCAAGGAAGAGAAATAAACAAACACAAAATTCAATTTTAAATTTCTTTCTGCGTATTTGTTTCGTAAAATTCAATGGTATCTAATATAATTCTAATATCTCTCATTTATCTCTTTGGTAGGAATCCATATTGATCTTCCTCTGTCCACTCGATTAAAAGGTTTTAAGTCTTTCAGCAAGAATGTTTGTAAAGATCTTATAATCTATATTTAAAAGTGATATAGGGCGATAATTCTTTACATTTTTGGATCACTATTTTCATTGTGTATTACTATGATTTTGGCTTGGGTCCATGTTTGGGGTATTTTTTGTTGATCTAATGCTTTATTCATAATTTCTTTTAGAAATGGGATTAATTCTTCCGAGAAGGTCTTATAATGCGCAGCAGTAAAGTCAACCGGCCCTGGAGCTTTACCAGTTTTCAATTTCCCAAATGCTCGTTTTATTTTGTTTTTAGTAATAGGGCAATTTAATTATTTTCTTTGTTGGTCAAATGAGTTAGGTGGGAGAAGAGAGCTCTTATATGCAGGCATCTTCGTAGATAGATGTCGGTTTTATTTATGTTTGATTTTCAAAGCATATCCCAGAACACATGTGTCTTTCCTTACAAAGCTTCCACCCAATGTAATAGATCCGAAGGAATAATGGGCTGCATGAGGTTTCAAATAGTGTGATTCTTCAATTGGTTTGCAGGGTTGAAACCTTGTGATTTTGTGATTAAATGCAGGGCCAACATTTTGTATTGTGTGCAATTCTTTCCTTGCCTCTCCTGCTTTTGTTTTCCTCTCAGTTTAGCTGCAATCCTAATACAAGCAGCCTCTGGCTTACAAATAAGATAAGTTCTGTAGATTTGTTCTTAAGTTGAACAGGTACATTTTAGGTTCTGTAGGTATGTTCTTAAGTTTTTAAAAACATATATATTTATTGATTTTTTTCATAAATGAATAAAATAAATAGTTAAATAAGGAGAAATGTGATATAGAATAGGATTGCTTTTACTGGTTTTATGGTTGTTTTCGCCTTGCAAGAATTGTTGTTTCTGTTAATTGATGTTATTGCTAGAATTGCTGTTTTCTGTTAATTGATGTTATTTTGTCTTATTGTTGTTATGTGATGCGGGCATCTATTTTCAGGACCACAATCTTTTGTTGAGTTCTTAATTATGTTTGGGTAGATTGTCTCTTTCTTCATTTCTTTCTACATATTCCTTAAAGAGTCGCCAGTCGATGGGTATTATTGGTCTTCCCGAATGCCTTTTCATTAAGAAAGTTAATTTGTCCATGTCCATAATTTCCTTCACTTTCTCTAACCATTGTTCTGTTGTTGGATTTCATCTGTTTTCCAAAGTTTTCGCGAGATTTATTCTTGTTGAACAGATACATTTTTAAGTATAACTCCAGCCAAAAATATGTTTTTTAAAAAGTTTTGGATAGTCTTGGGAAGTGGTAACACCTCTGCAACATTTGTTTTGCTCTCTGTGGCCCTGTTCAGAAGATTTCAGCTCACTTTATGGATTTTGAAAATGTTGAGTAGTCGTGGAAACAAGGATTGGGGATAAAGCTTCAGGAGACACTATTCCCCCTATAATAATCATCACAAGAGTGAATTTCCCTTTCTAGGGGGGAGCTTGAGGGGCTTTGACACCCCCCCCCCAAATTCTCAGGGTGGTCTGCGAGAAGGCCTTACTGGTACATTATTTAAACTGTTATGTTTATTCATATCATGATCTGATCACCATGCTCAGTATATCCCATATGCATGGGGGTATTGGGATAATACCAAAGGTTTGCTAGGATAGATCCTCACTCCCCCCCCCCCCGAATCAAACTCCCCCCCCCCCCCAAATCAAAATCCTGGCTCTTGCTTCTTATTGTCTCACTCTGTAAGTCATATGTTTGTAATTCAGCGAATACCTGTGACAGCTGGAAAAAATAAATTCACCTCCAAATAAAATCATTAGGATTATTTATAGTATTTGGGGTGGCTTTGTTCTGGATGGGTAATTAAGATTTTTTTAAAACACTCCTGGTATAGCTGGAGGAAACTGTTAGAATAGATTTACTGATATGGAGCAATGCAGCAACCTCAATATTAGAATTTTCTGGAGAATGTGAAAAAGGTACTATCAATATGATCACCTTTTTTATAGCAGCATTCCACTACCTATCTGAACCAGAAAAGACAGTTCAGCCAGGCTGGCTTAGCCACGGTGGTCCAGTTGCTTACCCCCTTTCCTGCCATTGCATTGGATATGTTTATTTTCCGACTGTCTTTCCTGTGAATCTCTGCCATTTGGCCCCAAGGGTCCAGTCTTAGGTTGAAAAAAGTATTGTTTTTGTATTATTATTTTTATAGCTCCCAGAATCACCAGCATAATCAGTGACTGAGGAATGGTGAGAGTTGTAATCAAAAAAAAAAAATCCAAGTTATTGACCTAGATATATCTCTCAATATTTTTAAGTGAGCCTAACCTGTATAATTAATGCAGTTTGAAAACACTTTAACTGCCATGGCTCAATGCTAGGGACTGCATATTGCTGGGGAACCAGTACTCTTTGGCAGAAAGGAGTATAGACCTTGTAAAACTTCATCTTCCATGATTCCATAGCACTGAGCCCTGACAGTTAAAGTGATGTCAAACTGCATTAATTCAGTAGTGTGCATGCACCCCTGAGAACTGAAAGAAGACAATTAGATTAATTAGGAAAGAGCATCAGCTCCTTTTAAAAAAAATATTTCTTACACTGAAAATATTCCTGAAAATGTATTTTACTTACTTACTTACTTACTTACTTACTTACTTACTTACTTACTTACTGTATTTATATACCACCTTTCTCACTCTTAGGGGGACTCAAGGCAGTTCACAACATAGTAATGGCAAAAATTCAAAGACAACATATGGTATACAAATCATAATAACTAATTAGTACATATAACTGTGAACTTAAAATGAATCCTTTCTAAATAACAGCAACTAGCTAATGTCGGCTGTTGTTAAGATGGGAGTTATTAAGCTCTAAAACAGATCCGCATAGAGTTCACTCTTTAGTTTTTATTTTACACAAAGAATTCTTCCTCTTGAATGTAATGCAATTGTCACAATATCTAAGGATAGAACAAGAAAGAGGTACCTAGTAATAAGATACTGATGAAAACTTCCTCTGTTGCTATACACAGTATTTTGGGATGGCTAGCTCTTGGTTAGGCAATTAAGACCCATTAGCATCACAAAAGACCGACAGGTCACAGGTTCGAATCTGGGTGAGCTTGCTCTATCGGCTCCAGCTCCTCATACGGGGACATGAGAGAAGCCTCCCACAAGGATGATAAAAACATCAAATCATCTGGGCATCCCCTGGGCAATGTTCTTGCGGACGGCCAATTCTCTCATACCAGAAGCGACTTGCACGACAAAAAAAAAAAGCATCACAAAAGCCCTGCTCTTGGTGTGCATGAAGACTGTGTGAAGTGATGTGTTGAAAGTGCTTGCATTTTTTTTACTATTCACAGGAACATGGTAGCACGGGCTGCCATAATGAGTTTCTCCACTTCAATATTTACACCTACAACACTGGATTTATACATTGAAAACATAGTTCATTTGAACAACATCCCCTATGTTTATTTCTTCCTCAGGGATTTCACGAATAATGCGATTTCTACTATTGGAACACAAGCATGGAGGGGCTATCCTTGGGCTGAGTACTTGTAAGTATTCATTTATGTTTTAGCTCTGTAGTGGGCACCCGACTTTGACCTGGTGTGGTCCAATTTCTTAGAGCAACTGGGAGTTTTCTTTTAAAAGTCTTTAGTGATGGTGTTGATCATAATAAATTGTGGCAAGTTCTTGGTGGGATGGGCATACCAAGCCACCTTGTCTCTCTCCTGAGGAATCTGTACAAGGACCAAGTAGCAACAGTAAGAACTGACCATGGAACAACAGACTGGTTCAAGATTGGGAAAGGCTGCATACTCTCACCCAACCTTTTTAACGTGTATGCAGAACACATCATGTGATGTGCAGGGCTTGATGAATGCAAAGCTGGGTTGAAAATTGCTGGAAGAAACATTAACAACCTCAGATATGCAGATGATACCACTGTGATGGTCGAAAGCGAGGAGGAGCTGAGGAGCCTTCTAATCAAGGTGAAAAAAGAAAGCGCAAAAGCTGGGTTGCAGCTAAACATAAAAAAACCAAGATTATGGCAACAAGAATGATTGATAACTGGGAAATAGAGGGAGAAAATGTGGAGGCCGTGACAGACTTTGTATTTCTAGGCGCAAAGATTACTGCAGATGCAGACTGTGGCCAGGAATTCAGAAGACTCTTACTTCTTGGGAGGAGAGCAATGTCCAGTCTTGATAAAATAGTGAAGAGTAGAGACATCACACTGGCAACCAAGATCCGCATAGTTAAAGCAATGGTATTCCCCATAGTAACCTACGGATGTGAGAGCTGGACCATAAGGAAGGCTGAGCGAAGGAAGATAGATGCTTTTGAACTGTGGTGTTGGAGGAAAGTTCTGAGAGTACCTTGGACTGCGAGAAGATCCAACCAGTCCATACTTCAGGAATTAAAGCCCAACTGCTCATTGGAGGGAAGGTATTAGAGGCAAAGATGAAGTACTTTGGCCACATAATGAGACAGGAAAGCTTAGAGAAGACAGTTATGCTGATGAAAATGGAAGGAAAAAGAAAGAGGGGGTGACCAAGGGCAAGATGGATGGATGGTATCCTTGAAGTGACTGGCTCGAACTTGAAGGAACTGGGGGAGGTGATGGCCAACAGGGAGCTCTGGCGTGGGATGGTTAATGAAGTCACGAAGAGTCGGAAGTGACTGAATGAATGAACAGCAACAGTGATGATGTTAATGTGCCTAACGGCTGAGCTAGCTAATTCAAAGAAAAGATGACACAAGAGACTTCAGTTTTGTTATGCATTGATTGAAACTTGAGTTCGTTTTTATATTATCTCATCAGCTTTTCAAAGCTTCAAAAGAGAAGTGCTGCATAGCGCTGAGCTAATCCATTGGTTCCTATACCAGAATACTTAGGATAGTTCTATATTCAGCTTTGCCAAATAGAATTGGAAAGCGTTTTGGCTTTTTGCAAAGCACCAACAAAACATACTGACTTTTAATATATTTGCAGGGGGCAATTTTCATTTTAAAATGTGATCAGAATAAAGGCAAATACATGATTGGAATTTTGCAGTCTGACACCCTTCAGATGTGTTGGACTGCAAATACAATTTTCCTGAGCCGGCATAGGATGGCTGTGAGTGATGTGAGCTGTAGTGCAATATATGTAAAAGTCACTAGATTTGGGGAGGCTGCTTGAAACAGCTATACCTCTGAAATGAGGCCAATAAGATGGCCAGGAGGAGCCTACAGCCAGTTCAGACTATAACCATACTGCATTCGAATTTCTGTTGGCCAGAATATTTATTTATTTATTTATTTATTTGCGACATTTATATGCCGCCCTTCTCACCCCGAAGGGGACTCAGGGTGGCTTACAATATATATATATATATATATATATATATATATATATATATATATATATATACATACACACATACACACACACACACACACACACACACATACAATACAATATATTATACAATATCAGTATTAAATATTACTCTATTGTACTATACCATTATATTGTAATATTATTAGTAATATTACATGTAATATAAATATATAATTATAATATCATATTATTAGTATTATATTGCATTACATTATAATATTATAAATATTATATGTATATACTATATACTATATTATATTACATTATATTATATTATTAGAATAGCACAGGAGACAAGGAGGAACTGTCCTCTGGCCCCCTCTTTCTTACTCTGGCCCAGAGCAGCAGTTGGTGCTTGGGGGAGAGGCCCCCAACTGATGACATACAATACAGTGAATACAAGTAACTGGAATTCTTAAGTAACTGGCCAAAAATAAAATCAAAGAAATAATACTTTAAATAAACATCAGATCCTGGTGATCCTAATGCTATGTCTACTCAGTAAACTCTCCATTCCTATTGCAACAGTCTTAAGCGTATATTTGTTTGTGGTTTTTCTAAGTTACTTCTAGTTTAAAAAATTATGTTAGTGAAATTCAGTAACCTGACAAATTTGACTGTCATTTAATTAAAACTGCAAACTGGATTCACAAAGCTGTTTTTTTTTTAGAATACATTAATACTGTATTACATTAAGTTAGGTTTGTCTTTATTTGTGTTAATTTGCTTTTAATTACTATATTTCAATATTAATATCAAGTCAATACAAATGTTATGGTGTGGTACGGTATCAGGTATAGTGTTAGTTGGGATACAACCCGAAATGCATCCTATTTCTGACCAAATATGCAGAACACAGCCTTGTTATCACCAACACACTTTTCTGCCAGAAAAAAACCACTTTAAGACATTATGGAAGAACAGACCTCAACCCCCGGACAAAGCACTGGCATCTCTTCGATTCTATAATAATATGTGCCAGAGACCGCTGTGATTTATTTCTCACAAGAGCCATGACAAACGCTAAAAATTGCTAGACTGACCACCGATTAATTCAATACACAGTGGCCATCAAGATCTCTCCCAAACATAGACTTCAAAGAAAAAAGATAAGGAGGAAAATGAACACACAAGTCTTTCAAGAACCTTCTAAAGGAGCCCTTTTCCAAACAACGCTCAAGGATCATCTTCCCTGAAAATGTTGTAGTATATTGGAATAAATTGAAGGCTACCATTACATCCTGTGAACAAACCATTGGATACCAAACTAAGAAACATCAAGACTACTTTGATGAGAATGATAACAAGATCCAACATTTAATTGATAAGAAAAGGAAAGCCTTCTAAATATAGCAAAGAGATATCAACTGTGCTGCTAAGAAAAAGGTCTACGCTAATGCAAAAGGTGAGGTCCAAAGAAGGACCAGAGAACTTAAGAATATCTGGTGGACAAAAAGGCTTTAAAAAAAACCCAATAGTTCACAGATATTCATGATGCATGGGGATTCCTTAAAGACATAAAGGGCATTTATGGCCCAACAAATCACGACATACACTTTATGTTCATCAGATGTAATCAAACTTCTAAAGGATAAAAAATCAATTGCACTGCGTTGGAAAGAGCACTACCATAATCTCCTTAATCGCAGTTCAAACTTGGCTGAAGAGGTTATCCTGGAAATCCCTCAACAACAAACCAGGGATGACCTTGCAGCACTGCCTAACTTTAGAGAAAGTCTGCAAACAAAAAATAAAAATAAAAAAACAAAGCCAGTGGACCTGATGGGATATCTGCTGAAATCTTTAAAGAAGGTGGGCCTGAGCTAACACAAAAACTCCACATGCTCACTGAAAAAGTGTGGGTGGCCGAGAAGATCCCAGCAGACTTCAAGGATGCCATGATCATAACCCTTTTCACAAAGGAAGAAAGAACAGACTGTGGAACTACTGAGGTATCTCCCTTTTGACCTCCACCGGAAAAATCCTCACAAGAATCCTTACAAATTACATTCTACCTATTTCAGAAGACATCCTCCCTGCATCCCAGATTGACTTCCACCCCCTGAGAAGAACAGTAGATATGATTTTTACTTCACAGAGAAAAAAAATCAAACTTTGTACATGGCATTCATCAATTTTGCAATGCCTTCGGCACTGTGAATTATAATGCTCTCTGAACCCATCCTCTTGAAAATCGGATGCCTTGATGAAATTTTGAACACCTTGTGACTACTCCTCGATGACATGATGGCAACAGTCTTGAACAGCAACGGCTCCCAAAGTGATCCATTTAAGGTGGAATCAGGTGTCAAACAGGTGCATTATTACTCCAACCTTGTTTTCCATATTCATAGCTATGATTCTACACCTTGTTGACAGGAAGCTTCCCACTGGTGTGAAAATCACCTATCAGACAGGTGGCAAGCTCTTTAGCCTCAACAGGCTAAAATCCAAAAGTAAAGTCACAACAACTTCTGTTATAGAACTCTAATATGCTGATGATAATTAAACACCTTCACAGAAGCTTATGAAAGCTTAGCCTCTCACTGAACATGGAAAAAACCAAAGTGCTCTATCAGCAGGCACCAACCAATCCCTCTGCAACGCCAGCAATAAAGCATAATGGTTTGAAGCTATAAATGTTGACCATTTCCACTACCCAGGCAACCAAAATACAACATCGTCAGAGCTCTGTGAGTGCAGCATTTTTTTAATGGAACAGAGTGTGTTCAAGTATCAGAGTGTTTGTAGCAATACTAACATGCTTGTTGCTATTGTCCTTCCTACTCTATTGAACATTTACAAAACATGGTCCACAAGCATCACTCTTTACTTCTGGAAAGATTCCATCAGCGTTGCCTTTGAAAGATTCTGCAAATCTCTTGGAAAGACAAATTTCAATGTTTTGGAAGAAGCAAAGACGGGCAGGAATGAAGCAATGATCGTCCATCATCAGCTTTACTGAACTGGTCATGTTGTCTGAATGCGCAATCATAGTTTCCAAAAGTAGTTATTGTACTCTTAGCTCAAGAACAGAAACTAGAATGTCAGCGGGCAGCAAAGGAAATTTAAAGACTGAGTTAAAGCTAACCTAAACAAATGTGGAATAGACACCAAAAACTGGAAAGCCCTGGCCCTCAAGCATTCTGACTGGAGGTGAACTGTTACCAAAAGTACTATGGAGTTTTAAGTGACTCAAATAGAGGGCGAAAGGGAGAAATGCGCCAAGAGGAAGACATGTCAAGCAAACCTTTGTCATGACTGCCTTCCATCTGGAAGCTTGCTCTCATTGTGAAAGACCATCTGGATCCAAAATAGGTCTTTACAATTACTTATGGTTTCATCGCCAAGACTCTGCCCTTAGAAGACAATCATACTTGGCCACGAGTGATCACCTATAGTAGTAGTAGCAGCAGTATCAGTAGTAGTATTAGTAGTCATTAGTTTATTTTATTCCTAACTCTCAAGCAAACCGAAACGACATTTATCCAGCATCTTCCAATCTCCATGGGTGCCCCCATTTATTATATAACAATATAATAAAACTTTATTTATAGACCACCCTATCTCCTCAAAGGGACTCAGGGCGGATTCCAACAAGTATGGCAAACATTCAATGCCAAAAAGGAAAAAAACATTCAAACAAAATTACATCAGGACAAACCATATTAAACACTATAATAACAACCTTTTAAAAAAGCAACAGTTGAGGGTTTACTGTGTTTGTGAGACTTCACATGTATGGAAACATATACTGTATATACTCGAGTATAACCCTAGTTTTTCAGTCCCTTTTTTAGGCTGAAAAAGTCTCCCTCGGCTTATATTTGAGTCAAGGTTATTTATTATTTTACTCTATTATTATTATTATTATTATTTATTTTATTCTATTTATTATTATTACATTTATCATTTTACTCTATTATTATACATTTATTATTTGACTGTATAATTGTTGTTATTGCTACATTCATTATTTTACTCTTTTTATTATTGTTGTTATTATTACATTTGTTATGTTACTCTCTTTATAATTATTGGAAGGATACGTAAGCACATTTACACTGAAGAAGGTAAATAATCATTTAATCAGAGTCGGACAGTCTTATCTTAAATTACCATTTTTGTAAATATTCAAAATTATATAACCTACTGATTCCTCAATTAATGTAATTTAATTGGTGTCTATTTTTATTTTGCAATTTACCAGTAGCTGCTGCATTTCCCACCCTCAGCTTATATTCGAGTTAATCCATTTTCTCAGTTTTTTGTGGTAAAATTAGGTGCCTCGGCTTATATTCGGGTCGGCTTATACTCGAGTATATACAGTATATTATAGGCATTTTGACTGTAACACTGAATCAGACTATCTGGTTGCATCTTTTAATGCAAACAAAAGGATGTACGCCTGAGGCGACTGGTTATATGCAGTTATTTCATGGGACTCTAACTTCCAGAATCCTTCATGTTCTAGGATTTTTAGTCCACAATTCTTCAAAACTCTCTCTGATCACACTATGTAACTTTTTTTTTCTGTTCCTGGTTTGAAAGTGTTATTTCCTGTTTAATTGTGCAGTACTTACTTTGAAAGTAGTTGTCATACTCCACAAACTTTGTTTTTTTGTGGCTGCCACAAGGCAATGTTGAATTAGTTGTGACTCTTGCTGTTCAATAAACGTTTTCCATTTTTTAAGACAGGACCAATTGGGAAATGATGTTTGTAACCTAGGAACAAAAATCATGTTACATAGTATTATAAATTCCAAGTTAATTAGAACTCAAACTAGTCTGGAATTGATTGGGGTGAATTGTTGCAGCACAATCTGGTCAGACAAAATCAGGGACTGTGATCTTATCTGTGTGATGTTTTCAAACTTTCCTCCATTGCTCCAGGGTTCTCAAGGGCAATAGCTTGACCCGACTGCAAAATGACTCTCTGGATGGCTTGCTTTCACTTACACACCTGTAAGTTTCTCCTTCTGGCCTTACCTTATTTGTTAAGTCTGCATCTACTGGCAAAATGGATTCCGGATGGGTTTGGTTTGTTTAGAGCAGAGATGGTTAGCAATAGCTTCAAAGCTACAACAGCCATAAAAAGGTTAATTTCGTGAACTATAGCTTCCAGATTCCTCCAGTTGCCATGCTGGCTGTAGGATTCTGGAAATTTCAAAATAGGTAACTTTTCTGAATGGTTCAGTGGATATGTAATATATGTATAATTCTTTGGATAACTGATAAAGTCATTATTTGATAACTGACTAAATTGATTAATTCTCATATTATAGGGTTTTCAAATATTCAACTCTGTTTTTTTCTTAGATTTTCCTTTTATAAAGTGAATGCAACATGTAAGTGCAATGTTAGCTTAAGTGCCTTTACGTTGTTACTTGGATGCCATCTCTGCTAGGTGAAAATCCCTTTCTTGTTATAATAATAATAATAATAATAATAATAATAATAATAATAATAATACATTTATTACCTGGCTCTCCTTGCGGCTCAAGGTGGGGTACAACATTGTTTAAACAAAAAGATAAAACAGTATTAAAGTACAAGATACACATAGTTAAAATGCAGGTTAAAACGACTGATCGTTGTTACAGCGGAATCCCCTTCCATCTTTCTCTGCTTACCAATATTGGTCTGCATAAAATATCTGTGGACTACTGTGTACTGTGTACGCACCGGGAGCCCCCGTTGGCGCAGTGGTTAAAGTACTGAGCTGTTGAGCTTGTTGATCAAAAGGTCGCAGGTTCGATTCCGGGGAGCGGCGTGAGCTTCCGCTGTCAGCCCTAGCTTCTGCCAACCTAGCAGTTCGAAAACATGCAAATGTGAGTAGATCAATAGGTACCACTCCGGCGGGAAGGTAACGGCGCTCCATGCAGTCATGCCGGCCACATGACCTTGGAGGTGTCTACGGACAACGCTGGCTCTTCGGCTTAGAAATGGAGATGAGCACCACACCCCAGAGTCAGACATGACTGGACTTAATGTCAGGGGACTACCTTTACCTTTACCTACTGTGTACGTACAGAGGCAAAATGGGAAACAATTACCATTATTTCAGTAGTACTACAAAACATCTCACGAGGCAAACTGTGGCCAAGTACTGCTCAGGGTGCATCTACATTAGATTTAATGCAGTTTGACACCACTTCAAATGCCATAGCTTAATACTATGGAATCATGAGAGTTGTAGTTTGATGGGGCACCAACACTCATTACCAGGCTGAAGAGAAGGTTGAAGACGTTATCAAACTACCAAACCCATGGCATTGAGCCATGGCAGTTAAAGTGGTGTCATCTGCATGTTTAATGCAGTTATCTACAGTGCAAATTCACCCTAAGTCTTTCTGTCTCAGTGCTATATGCTACTGAGCAAAGCCTCTTCTATTATTTGATAGGGTGTTTTATGGCTGGTTGGGAGAGTTATTCTACAACAAAGTGAAGCAAACCAGCTACTGTCCAGTGTTCCTATTGCTACTCCCGTAAAGCTTAGCTAGCATGGCCAATATTCAGGGACTGCACATGTTGTAGTGAGTGGTTCTCAACCTGGGGTCCCCAGATGTTTTTGGCCTTCAATTCCCAGAAATCTTGACAACTGGTAAACTGGCTGGGATTTCTGGGAGTTGTAGGCCAAAAACATCTGGGGACCCCAGGTTGAGAAACACTGTATGTAGTCCAAAATATTTCACAGGCAGCAGATTGATAAGTTACTCTCAAATTGAAGACCATCTTCTATGAATGTATGGTGAAGCACTGGATTTAGACTTGGATGCTGTACTGACATCAGCTTACTGTTTAGCCAAGGAAAATTATTCATTTCTTTGGTTTTTGTCTTAATTAAAAGAGATTGGACGGCTCTCTTGACACAAGCATTTTTAAGAATGAAAGAGCCCATGGAGTCTTATAGTGGCACCTGTGGTACACCCTGGATGGGAAGGAAAATATTTTTCATTCATCTACACTTGTTGGCAGTGCAATTGCTCAGTAGTCACCAGCACTCTGCCTCATAAACCATTAACCATTATTTGCAAGAATTCGGAATTCTGGCTCATCATGATATCTGAACATTGCAATGGTAACATAAACATGTCTCAAGGAGCAAGCAGAATGCAAGGAGAAACAATCGCACAAGCACAAACTAAGAGGGCTGAACCACCATATATGAAGGACAAAAGGCCTACCATATATGATCCTCTTATTTGATACACAAATGCCAATTGGCAGTCTTTTTTTGACACTGGTGATGGGACAGTACACATTTAAAAACTAGCTTACAGATGAGGAACAAGCTGTTTGGCTGCCTCCTAGCATCACTGTTTAAAGTGCCCATTTTGATCTACCTAACAGTAGGGATAGTCCTGCAAACTGACCAATGGACAAGCTGCAAAGACTGCTGTTTTTATTTAACATTAGATGATCCAGGTTTAAAATATAAGGTGAAAGCTCGCAATACATATGCCAATTATGGGGTTGGATTGTGCATCTTTCTAGTCTCTAGCTTAATCAATTCTGTGTCCTGTTTTTGACAGGGACCTGTCATGTAATAAAATTCGGACCATTGAGAAAAATGCATTTGAACCCGTTCCATTCCTGCAGTTCGTGTAAGTCATTTGGTATAAAATGGTGGGTAGATTATAATGGCTTTCTGTCCCATAGTCCTAAGTCTATCAAGTCCTTGTCATGGAAATTCTTCATATCATTAGGAGTATGAGGATTCAGGACTGTAAAATGGCTATTTTTTTTGGAAAATCTTGCTCCATAACACTAGACAAGAAGGAATTGTTTCTATTCTGGATACTTCTTTAGTCAATAACAGGATGGGAACTTTGTGGCTCTTCAAAAGTTGTCAAACAACAACTCCCAGCAATCCTAGCCAATAGTGAGGGATGTTGGAAGTTGCACTTCAGAAACATCCGCAGGGCCCCACAGTTTCCACTTCTATAATAGGATTTTGGGCTGTTCTAAAGGGTCAAAGCTGAGTCAGAGCTCAGTTTGAATGCTGATTCTAGGTGCCAGAGCACAGCCTGAGTAAATGGGAAGTAAATTCATTCCACTCATGACAGAGATAATGGAGAGTGTTTTGGTTGTAGTTACTGTAGGTATCTATATAAATAAAAATGTAATGTTTGTTTGTGGGATTAACATAACTCAAAAACCACTGGACAAATTGGCACCATGTATGGACACAATACACCTATCAGGACAACAAATTACCATCCACATATATATAAATGCTCTGTGCATAATGAGTACCTTAAAAACAAAAGAACCAAAGAACAAAATCACACCAAATTTGACAACAAAATGTCTCACTACACAAGGAGTGACCATCACTCCAAAAATTATGTTTTTGTCATTTGGGATTTGTAGTTGCTGGGGTTTATAGTTAACCTACAATCAAAGAGCATTCTGAACTCCACGAACGATGGAATTGAACCAAACTTGGCACACAGGACTCCCCTGACCAACAGAAAACATTAGAAGGGTTTGGTGGGCATTGACCTTATGTTTTGGAGTTGTAGTTTATCTACATCTAGAGAGCACTGTGGACTCAAACAATGATGGATCTGGACCAAACTTGGCATAAATACTCAATATGCCCAAATATAAACACAGATGGAGTTTGGGGAAAATAGACCTTGATATTTGGGCATTGTAGTTACTGGGATTTATAGTTCCCCTACAATCAAGGAGCATTCTGAACCACACCAACGACAGAATTAGGGCAAACTTCCCACAGAACCCTCATAACCAACAGAAAATACTGTGTTTTCTGGTGGTCTTTGGTGACCCTTCTGACACTCCCCTGGTGACCCTCCCTTCCCGGGTCTTGACTTTCCAGGTTCAGAAATGCTGCCTTGAGCCCATCCAATCCAACTCCCTTCACCAGGGCAAAAAAAACATAATCAAAGCCCTCCTGACAAAGGGCCATCTAGCCATTCGTATATGATAGATGCAGTATCAAAGATTTGAAAGGGACCCCTAAAGAAGGACAATTTGCACATCAAGAAATACTGTTTACCCACAAGAAATACTGTTTACCCACAAGCAGAAAGACGTTACATATATTAGAAACCAGCACTTTCTCATTACTTTATTTTCCAGATCACCAGACTGGGCCACAGCAATGCATGGCAGGGGAGGGCTAGTCACTTATAAAAACACTGAAAAATACAGCGGAAGAGACTTAAAAGCCAAAAAAGCAAAAAGACACTACAGGGCATGCGCAAAAACAACTCCCTCTGGCAAACAAAACACACAATAGCATATCCACACTCTCTTCCTGACTACAGCTCCCAGCATCCCCTAGACCAGGCCCTTTAGGAGAGGAGGATGATCCAAATGCACCGCTTCCAAGCTGCAAGCTTTCTTCTCCTTGGATTTCTTTGAGAGCATCCAAACCCCTGCATATTTCCGATTTCCTATTCCTGGACTGCAACTCCCAGCAATCCTCCAGAGAGATAAGATAGATAGATTAGATAGAGATAGGTAGGTAGGTAGGTAGGTAGGTAGGTAGATCGATCAGGAGGACTGCAGGGAGTTGCAGTCCAATAATAGATAGAGAAGGAAGAAAGGTGAGAAAGAGGAAGGGAAAGAAAAGGGAAGGAAGGGAAGAGGAAGAGAAGGAAGGAAGGAATGAAAGAAAAAAGGGAAGGAAGGAAGGAAGGAAGGAAGGAAGGAAGGAAGGAAGGAAGGAAGGAAGGAAGGAAGGAGAAAAAGGAGGAGAGAAAGAGGGAGAGAAGGTTGGCCACAGCAATGTGTGGCGGGTACAGCTAGATACAAATAAATAAATAAAGCTTCTAGAAGGATAGTGCATTGCTGCACAGTATTAATTCCTTTTATTAGAATTGTTAGTATATGTTTTTGTTGCCACCAGTGTCTGATAGTGGTTTGAGCGGCTATGACTTTGGAGACATGGGTTTGAATCCACTCTCAGCCAGGAAGATCCATTGTTACTGCTTGTAATGTATTTTTTAGTAACAGAATTTGAAAAAAACACAATACTACATCATATTCCATTCATTCACAAATTTCATTATTGATTTCAATATTGATTCCATTCAACCAACATATTGTAACACAGAAACATCAAAGGAAGTTGCGGGGGAGAACTGTATGTGATGAAGCAAATCTGAAGACACTTTCTGGATTTAGAACACCAAAAACAGCATACATTTTAATAAGTGTTTGTGACCCTCAATTTTGCAAGTCTGTATGAATCAGCGATACGATAATGAATATCAGTTTCCCCTTTTCTCCAATGGTTTGGTGTGTGTACAAATTTGGTTTTGATTAGGTAAATATTACTATATACTGTTTCTTTTTTCCTCTGTTTCCCTCTCCAGAGATCTCAGTGGCAACGTTATTGGTCGGATCACTCAGGGGGCATTTCAGGCCTGGCATGGAATGCAGTTTTTGATCAAGTTGTAAGTAAAAGCCAGCCTAGGAGTCTTAGATTTATAATCTGCAAAAATAACATGTTAGAGCTCTGAATATTTTTCTTTTTTTAAAAAAAAAAGTTTTATTAAAAGGGCAGATTCTAATTCACTGAGCAGTGAAAACTCTGCAGAGACAAAAGTATTGAAGCCGGGCTGTTATTTTGTGATCAATAATTTGTGTTATACTTGCTTACAAACTGAGTGTTGGAACACCAAAATATGACCATAGTTTATTATTTCCCTGTGATATGAGAGAGAAAATGTGGGGAAGAGGTAGGTGAGTTATTTATTGATCATGTCAGGAGCAGACCAAACAGTTGCGTTGCATTTTTTAACAAACAAACAAACAAAACACAAAGTTTGCAAGCTTGGTAGTTGATTAAATGTCCTTTGACCAGTAACTGGCCACTTGGAGTGCCTCTAGTGTTAATATAAGGAGGTCCTCCATTGTGCATGTGGCAGGGCTCAGGTTGCATTGCAGCAGGTGGTCTGTATGCTCTTCTCCGCACTCGCATGTCATGGATTCCACTTTGTAGCCCCATTTCTTAAGGTTGGCTCTGCATCTCGTGGTGCCAGTCTGTTCAGCGCCTTCCAAGTCGCCCAGTTTTCTGTGTGCCCAGCGGGGAGTCTCTCATTTGGTATCAGCCATTGATTGAGGTTCTGGGTTTGAGCCTGCCACTTTTGGACTCTCGCTTGCTGAGGTGTTCCAGCGAGTCTCTCTGTAGATTTTAGAAAACTTAGAAAACTGAGTTAACCATGGTGAGTTAAACCATGGATCCTGACCCCACTACTTCTTAAATTATGGGAATTGACCCCAAGTGACCCCCAAGTAAGTTTTTGTTAGCTCAATATTGAGATTACGGAAAAATTGTACTCGGCGGAAAGGGGCCATGATTGAACAAAGTTTATAAAGTTCTGAATTAAGGTGGCAAACCTATAGAGGTCTCTATTGCCAGTAGCCAACATCTCCATCAATCCACTAGATGTTGGCCTTGTTCCCTTATGCACTGCCATATGATTTTGAGATCAAAAAGTTACCAACCAGATCTAAGAATACTATGTCATGTTTGCTCTGTTTGGGGCAGCAAGCTGTCAGGCAACTGCTTAGTTTGGGCATTTGTGACCCACTTCGTTTTTATCTTCACCATTCTTCAAACTAGTAATGGTCTCCTTTCACTCCTTGTGCCTTTGTCCTGCAGGGTTCTCAACCACAACCAATTGACATCCATTGATGATGCCTATTTTTACAAGTTGCCCTCACTGAAGTTCCTGTAAGCACCGTAATTCATTTGCTTTTACTTTTCGTGCGGACTTCCTTTTGCTGTTATTTTTCAAGTTTACCTATAACTTGGGGGGGGGGTCATCCTTTGTGGTTTATAGTTTGTTGCATATAAAATATGGTAAAGCAATGTGACATTGTATGGGATATGGTCAGGGAGAGATGCATCTTCAACTAATCCTCTCCCAGTTATAAATCTTGAGCCAGTCTCTTTGGCTGGATCTACACTGCCCTGTATCCTATTATCTGATCCCAGATTATCTGCTTTGAACTGGATTATATGAGTCTACACTGCCAGATAATCCAGGATCAGATCTTGGGGTATAGGGCAATGTAGAACCAGACTTGATCTCAGCATCATCTCTCTCACAASTTTAATGAGAGAGTTTAAATCAGGGGTCCTCAAACTAAGGCCCGAGGGCCGGATACAGCCCTCCAAGGTCATTTACCCAGCCTTCGCTTAGGGTCAGTTCATTGTCACTTTGAAATTGCTTATGTTTTCTTCATACAAGYCACTGTTCAATGGTTAAATGCAAGGTCCCACAGCCAAGTCTTGAGTTTCCTTCTAAAGGACAGGAGGGAGGTGGCCAATCTGATGTCTTTGGGGAGGAAGTTCCACAGATGGGGAGCCACTGTTGAGAAGGCCCTGTCTCTCGTCTCCATCAATYGCTTTTGCAACGGTGGTGGGATCTAGAGCAGGCCCGCTCCAGATAATCTTAAACTTTGTGATGATTCGTAGTAGGAGATACATTTGGACATGTAGTCTGGGCCAGAACCTTTTAGAGCAGGGGTCCTCAAACTAAGGCCCAAGGGCTGGATATGGCCCTCCAAGGTCATTAACCCGGCCCTCGCTTAGGATCAACCTAAGTCTGAAACTACTTGAAAGCACACAACAACAACAACAATCCTATCTCATCAGCCAAAAGCAGGCTCACACTTCCCATTGAAATACTAATAAGTTTATATTTGTTAAAATTATTCTTCATTTTCATTATTGTATTGTTTTTAAGAGGGGTTTTTTTGGCACTACAAATAAGATATGTTCAGTTTGCATAGGAATTCATTCGTGTTTTTTTCAAATTATAATCGGACCCTCCAACAGTTTGCGCAACTGTGACCTGGCCCTCTGTTTAAAAATTTGAGGACCCCTGCTTTAAATAATGAGGAAGGAGAACCAGTTATGATACAGATACAAAGTGAGAGGTTATAGAAGTAATAAATGGAACAAACTAACCAAAAGTAACATTGCTAACAATGGCATGTGTGCAGAATACAAAGTCTACATTTGCAGGTTTTGATACTAGGAACTTAGGCTAGAAAGCACAAGGTATTGTAGCACTAAGTTATGTTGATTGATGTGCATTTCCAAGCTTTGAACCCCAGCATTTATCTAGGTTGTTGTTTCCTTAGAGGCAAGTTCACAGAAGGCTTCTGCGTTTCTAAGAAATACATTTTATTAGAGCTCTTGGAAAAGTTAGCATAAAGAACAAACATTGTCGAAGGCTTTCATGGCTGGAATCACTAGGTTCTTGTGGGTTTTTTCGGGCTATAGAGCCATGTTCTAGAGGCATTTCTCCTGACGTTTCGCCTGCATCTATGGCAAGCATCCTCAGAGGTTGTGAGGACCTCACAACCTCTGAGGATGCTTGCCATAGATGCAGGCGAAACGTCAGGAGAAATGCCTCTAGAACATGGCTCTATAACCCGAAAAAACCCACAAGAACCTAAGAACAAACATGTTAGTCTTAATTTGTTTATGTTTATTGTTGCTTTTTTTGAAATCCCACCTTTGTCTCAGTCTGGATCTTGGTTCACAGGGTTTATGTTTATTGTCTTAATTTGTTTATGTTTATGTTGTTTATGTTTATTGTTGCTTTTTTTGAAATCCCACCTTTGTCTCAGTCTGGATCTCGGTTGGCAGGGTGCATCTACAATGTAGAAATGAGGCAATTTCACAACTGATGTGGCTCAATGCTCTGAAATCCTGGGAGTTGTAGTTTTAGAATGTCTTTAGCCTTCTCTATCAAAGACTGCTGGTCTCTCACCAAACTATATGTCTCAGGATTTTATAGGATGGAGTCATTGAAATTAATTCACCTTTACTTTTAGTGGGGACTTTTTTCAGCTATGATTATCCCAAGATTTGATTTTAAATGTTCTCTCTAGGAATCTCTAGCCCCTCCAGTGTGACCTCAATGTCACTTCCCACCTCTCTAGGATTCTCTAAGTGATTCTGTGGTGAGCTTCCAGTGGAAAATAACCACAGAGTCATGTTGGAGGACCTAGAGATTCCTTGAAAGATTCCTAAAGGAGTTTTCTCTCAGTAAAAAAATATTAACAGCTTTTCGCTTTCATAGTGGTTCTTTCCCTCTAAGCCAGGGGTCCTCAAACTTTTTAAATAGAGGGCCAGGTCACAGTCCCTCTAACTGTTGGAGGGCCGGATTATAATTTGAAAAAAACATGAATGAATTCCTATGCACACTGCACACTGCAAAAGACACTTAAAAACAATACAATAATTAAAATGAAGAACAATTTTAACAAATATAAACTTATTAGTATTTCAATGGGGAGTGTGGGCCTACTTTTGGCTGATGAGATAGGATTGTTGTTATTGTTGTGTGCTTTCAGGTCGTTTCAGACTTAGGGTGACCCTGAGCAAGGGCCAGGTAAATGACTTTGGAGGGCCGCATCCGGCCCGCGGGCCTTAGTTTGAGAACCCCTACTCTAAGCTCTGTGGGTGGGTCCGGAAGCTCTGAGCGTTACACTGTTGCCATTTCGCTCCTTCGGGAATGCTGTTTGCGCAATTCAGAACGGAACACATGACGGAATGTAAGAGTTCTTTAATGGTAAAACCCTAACCCTTACCCTAACCCTATCTCTAATCCTAACCCTAACCCTAAAACTTACCCTAAACCTTATCCTAACCCTCCCCTCCTTTCTTTCCTTCCACCAAATGCAACTACGAAGTATATTCCCGTCCTCAGTGTGCCGCTCTCCCTTATTCACAACCGCCATTGCGGAATGTGCGTAGCGCTCGGAGCTTCCAGACCCAGCTATCATACTATCACCACTCTGTGAATGTGGAAGGTGTGTGTACTACTTTTGAGTTCCTTATTATTATTGTCCATGAGAGTTATTCAAGTGGGTTCTCAGAACAATCCTGGCAGTTAGATTAGGCCTCTTCCACACAGCTATATAAAATCCACATTGAACTGGATTATATGGCAGTGTGGACTCAGATAACCAGGTTCAAAGCAGACATTGTGGGTTATCTGTCTTTATATTCTGAGTGATATGGTTGTGTGGAAGGCCCTTATACTTAGTATCTGGGATCAGCAAAGCAAAAACTCTTTTTGTCATTTTAGAGACCTCGGAGCAACAGGGATTTCCCCAAACACATTGGTGGAACTGCTCAAAATCACCCTTCAATTGAAAACTCTGTAAGTATCCTTTGACCTTTTCCTTTTTGCAAAACAGAGATAAAGATAGAAACAACTTGAAAACAGGCTCAGATGAGAGAGCAATCTTCTCTCCTTATACATGTTCATCTGAGATCTCTTCTACCAATGTAGGTCAAGAAATAACAAGACCAAAATCACAAACCCAAAACAGAAAAACATGTCGGGCTTCAGCCCCCCCCCCAAATTCTCATGGTGGTCCGTGAGAAGGCCTTACTGGTACATTATTTAAACTGTTATGTTTATTGATATCATGATCTGATCACCATGCTCAATATATCTCATATGCACAGAGGGGGTATTTGGATAACGATACACAAAGTTTGCTAGGTTAGACCCTCTTTCACTCAGACTCACCCCCCCCCCCAAACAAACTCAGCCCCCCCCCCAAATCAAAATCCTGGGCTTGGACCTGTCCTTCTACATGTAGAGGACGTATTATTACATTTGATACCACTTTAAATAAACTTGTTACCACATCCCGTCGCTATTGTAACTGGCTAGTTTAAGGAAGTCACTAATTAGCTGTCTCTGACATGAAAATTCCCAATATTCCCAATATCTCCAGAAATTACAAATCACAACATTCCACAGTACAGAGCCAAGACAATTAAAGGAATACTACTGCACTCCACCAAAATATCGTTGAGTCACCAGATCCTCTCTGATCATGGAAGTTAACCAAAGTTGATCTTGGTTAGTACTTGAATGGAAGACTGTCAATAAATACCAGGTGCCATGGACTATGTTTCAGAAAAAGGAACTGCAAAACCATCTCTGAATATTCCTTGCCAAAGAAAATCTGATGCAATTCATGGGGTCACCATAAGCTGACAGGTGACTTCAAGGCAATAATAATAATAATAATAATTATCTTGTTATGGTTTTATATTATATTGAATCATAGAATCAAAGAGTTGGAAGAGACCTCATGGGCCATGTCCAACCCCCTGCCAAGGAGCAGGAATATTGCATTCAAATCACCCCTGACAGATGGCCATCCAGCCTCTGTTTAAAAGCTTCCAAAGAAGGAGCCTCCACCACACTCCGGGGCAGAGAGTTCCACTGCTGAACGGCTCTCACAGTCAGGAAGTTCTTCCTCATGTTCAGATGGAATCTCCTCTCTTGTATTTTGAAGCCATTGTTCCGCGTCCTAGTCTCCAAGGAAGCAGAAAACTTGCTCCCTCCTCCCTGTGGCTTCCTCTCACATATTTATACATGGCTATCATATCTCCTCTCAAGCCTTCTCTTCTTCAGGCTAAACATGCCCAGCTCCTTAAGCCGCTCCTCATAGGGCTTGTTCTCCAGACCCTTGATCATTTTAGTCGCCCTCCTCTGGACACATTCCAGCTTGTCAATATCTCTCTTGAATTATGGTGCCCAGAATTGGACACAATATTCCAGGTGTGGTCTAACCAAAGCAGAATAGAGGGGTAGCATTACTTCCCTAGATCTAGACACTATGCTCCTATTGATGCAGGCCAAAATCCCATTAGCTTTTTTTGCCGCCACATCACATTGTTGGCTCATGTTTAACTTGTTGTCTACGAGGACAACAAGTTAAATAATAATAATAAATTTTATTTGTATACCGTCCTATCTCCCCACAGGGACTCAGGGCGGTTTCCAACATGTAAGACAAAAGCACCAAGTGAAGAGGTTGAAGCATCATTTTCTTCATACTGGACCCATTCTAGCCTCTCTGACCCCCTCTTTTTCTTCATAAAGCCAAACATAACAGGAATAAGAACCACACAAAATAAACTAACCCAAAGTTCCTCAAAGTGGAGAAGAGCAAAGCGAACAGCATTCTCCCAAAGTGGACAAGAGCCCGGGGCACGGAGGCTGCTCCCTTGAAGCCCTGAAGGCCTGTACTCTCACAATAGCGTTCCCTCTGGTGCTAGCTCTTAACTCAAAACACTGCTCATATGTCAAAGTAAAATCCAAGCTGAGTGATGGATTTTAATTCAAAAAACTCTTAAGTTGGGATGCGCTCAAGTTGAGGTTCTACTATATATAGAAAAAGCACAGGTCTTCATGCTCCAATGGGTTTAAGGACACTGGTGATTTTAGACAGTCACTTGGGAGTTGTTTCTGGCCTCACTGTTGATTCAAGACTTGCCATAGGAAACAGATGTTTTCTGCTTTAAACTGGATTATATGAGTCTGCACTGCCAGATAATCTGGGATAAACAGAAAACCCAGCATCTGATCCTGGAATATAGGGCCTGTCTGCAGAGGTGGCCCTAGGTAATTTTCAACGGTAAGCAAACAGTATTTTGGTGCCCCCCCCAACCAATCACTGATATATATTTTCTGTTTGTCGTGGGAGTTCTGTGTGCCATATTTGGTTCAATTCCATCATTGGTGGAGTTCAGAATGCTCTTTGATTGTAGGTGAACTATACATCCCAGTAACTACAACTCACATATGTCAAGGTCTATTTTTCCCCAAGAGCGCCCCTGGGCAAAATCAAATATACTGCAAATGCTTACTTTGCATAATGGGTTGAGCTGCCCCTGCCTGTCTGGAAGGGCCTTAAGGGCGCATTTACCTTGTAGAATTAATGCAGTTTGCCAGCACTTTCTCTGCCATAGTTCAATCCTGTGGAATCCTGGAAGTTGTAGTTTGGTGAGGCAAGAGGCCATTTTGACGGAGAAGGATAAAGTATAAAACCGCAACTCCCAAAACTCAATAGCTTTGAGCAGTGGTGGTTAAAGTGATGTCTAAGTGCATTAATTATGTAGTGTAAATGCACAACCAGCCAGGAATCTTGCTCTGTGGATTCCAGCCAATAAAATGAGCATATTTCTCCTCTGGTTCCATTCAGGAGACAAAGAAAATGGATTTTCCTTGTATTTCACTCTGCAGTATTTCTTTTTAGGTCATGATAGCATATATATTATATATTAGGCGATCCCTCGTTTTCCAAGGATGATTGTCTTCCAATATTCTTGTGGGTCCGTATGTGGCTGTGGAGCCCTATTCTTGCTCTGCATCTTCTTCCGCAGTGAGGGCATTGGTTTCCAGGTGGAAGGTGGTCTCGATCGGGGTTGGCTTGACACGCCTTCCTCTTGGCACACTGCTCCCTTTCGCCCTCCATTTGTGCCTCTTCAAATTCTGCAGCACTGCTGGTAACAGCTGACCTCCAGCTGGAGCGCTCAAGGGCCAGGGCTTCCCAGTTCTCAGTGTCTATGCCAGAGTTTTTAAGGTTGGCTTTGAGCCCATCTTTAAATCTCTTTTCCTGTCCACCAACATTCCGTTTTCCATTCTTGAGTTCGGAGTAGAGCAACTGCTTTGGGAGACGGTGGTCGGGCATCCGGACAACGTGGCCGGTCCAGCGGAGTTTGTGGCAGAGGACCATCACTTCAATGCTGGTGGTCTTTGCTTCTTCCAGCATTTACATTCTTCCAGCATGATAGCATAAGACACATGTAAACAGTGCTATAACAATGTAGTACGAAAGAATACATACCTAGAGCCTCCTCTTTTTAAATTGAAATTAACAGTACTCATGGGGGAGTTTCCTTCTTGTGTCACTCACCACAGGATGGAATAGTAAGGCGTGAGTAGGGATGCAAAGAGATATACAGAGAAAGCTGGAATGCAGGTGGAGGACAAATTGATATGTGGCCAAATGGGAGGAAGCAGCCTTGGACTGACCTCAATTGCCCCATGAGTCTGTCCTTCCAGATTCAAAGGATCTTATCCCTATGGGTTGACTAGGTACTTGGTTGAAGGGACTATTTGGCCAACAAGAAGTTGTTGTGAAATACTTGTCTTCTTTTCATCTGCAGCGTCTTGCCCAAGAAGATGGTTTGTTGCCTTTGCCGTATTCAGGACGACATTGAAGTTCTGTGTGAAAGCATCCAATTGAATTGCACTGAATCATGTGACTCAAACAGCACTCAGTGTGGTAGGCTGGCTGATGTTTTTGGAAGCTCACATTCCTTTGTTTTTCCATTTATTTCTTTAGCCCTATTTGAGGGGGCGGGTAACATTAAAGGCAGCAATAGTGATGTGCCACATAGACCATCCTCATTCCCCATGTTGGTATCTGTATGTAATGCTAGAAATAATTCATAAGGTTGTTATACTATCAGGAGCAATGCTGCCCAATGCTCAGCATAGTTCCATGCTTGTTCATGTATTTGCATCCCCCCCCCCACTTTGAATAGAGCTTTTATTTGAGTTTTTTGGGGTTGGGAGGCGGGGTTGCCTGCCTTCCTTCCACCTCCATTTGAAGAATGAAAAGCAATCCCCAATGAGATAACACAAGAAATAGCACCTCAAGTGTGGATAACTAAAATGCCTTCCAGTAATAATATTAAAACTATTATTATTATTATTCATTTTTATCCCTCTTTTCTCCTTTGTTGCGCCAGCTCCACTGGCTGCCAATTTGCTACCGGGCACAATTCAAAGTGCTGGCTTTAGCCTTTAAAGCCCTAAATGGTTCTGGCCCGATCTACCTGTCTGAACACATCTCCTCCTATGAACCAGTTACGACATTAAGATCATCTGGGAAGGCACTGCTCTCAGTCCCGCCGGCTTCACAAGCACGCCTGGCGGGAACGAGAGACAGGGCCTTCTCAGTGGTGGCCCCTCGGCTGTGAAACGCCCTTCCTGCAGATATCAGATCGGCCCCCTCCTTACTGGCATTCCGGAGAAAAGTGAAGACCTGGCTGTTTGAACAGGCATTTATTTATTTATTTATTTATTTATTTTATTATTTATTTCACAGTTTTCTATACYGACCTTCTCACCTCATTGAGGGACTCAGCCCGGTTTCCAACCATAAAAACACATACAATCAGTAAAATATCATAGTTCACAATTACAGTAACACATTTAAAATAACAACATATTTAAAACTACAGTGGTCAGTCGTCATATTAAAATCAATATACATCATCTTCCATCCAAAATCCTAGGGTGTTGTCTCATTCATTGAAAGCCTGTCTCCACAACCACGCCTTCATCCRTTTCCTAAATGTCAGGATAGACGGGGCRGTTCTGACTTCCGGTGGGAGAGAGTTCCAGAGTCGCGGGGCCACCAACGAGAAGGCCCTGTCCCTCGTCTCCACCAGACGCGCCTGTGCGGCCGGTGGGACCGAGARCAGGGCCTCTCCAGACGATCTTAATAATCTTGATGGTTCGTAAGGGAGAATACGTTCGGAGAGCTAAACAGGGCCGGAGTAGTTTGACTAAGCAGTGCAAGTGATTGATTTGCGGAACATGGAATAATGGATAACGAGACTGGATTCTGATTCTATTGATGAGATCTGATGGATTTGTTACATTGATGTATTGTTGTATTGATATTTACTGTTTAATTAATTTGTTATATTATTGCTTTTAAATGCCCAATGATCTTGTATTGTGTATACTGAAACTGTTGCTGTGAACCGCTCTGAGTCGCCTAAGGGCTGAGAAGAGAGGTATACAAATGAGGTAAATAAATAAATAAATATCCTGATTCAACTTTTTTCCAAAGGTAATCATCCTCAAAATATTCTGTCAATAAGCAGCAGGTAATTCAGTTTTTATAATGTACTCCCTTCTTGTTTCTGAGCAGAGAAAAATGCGGGTTTGCATAAGATGCAAGAGGAAGTTATGAAGATTTTGGAAACCAGGAAACAGAATTCCAGTAACGTCCTGAGTATTCAGCCAGAGAGACCTCTGCAAGAAAACACATCTTTGGCAATGCCAGTGAACCAGAGCCTCACACATTTTGGCATCCATTTCCAGAAACTGACTCCCCACCTTTTCACAACTGTAGAGCATTTAGCAGATGTGAAGAACAATGAATCTCTGGACATAAAATGGACTGACAAAAGTGAACTGAAACAATTATACATGCTGGCCAAGCTGCTGCAGGCAGAACTCAGAGGGAAAATTGATGAATACCAAGGGAAAAATGAATGGGCAGAAGCCTCAAGTGGCACTACACCGGCTGCAGAAGAGCGTGTTGCTCCTGCTCTGCAGAAGAAGAGACATATAAGGAAAGTCAAAAGAGACAGTTCGTCTCCAAACAGAAAACAACCACTTCTCACAATGGGCAAAAATAAGCAGGCGTTGTCAAAGGCCGTGATGCAATATGCAGAGCTGCCAGGCATCCAAGATTCCACACCAAGGTCTCAGCACATGAGAAAGCTATCAAAAGCCTTTAAGCCTCTCAGGCCCCGTCACATAGCACCACACCTGTCCCCTTGGAAGCGCTCCATTTCAGGCTTTTCAACCCTGGCTTCTCCCACCTTAACGGCCTCCATCCTGATGGATGACGACGACGACGACGAATTGACAGGCAAAGTTTTTATTATTTTGAAACACGGCAATAAATCAAGAAAGCGCGGGCCAACTACAACTCCCACTCCTGTCAGCAAACAGGAGGAAGAGGCACCTCGTCAATATTCCCAACCAGAGAGTCAGCCTGCCCTTCCCTCTTTATCCCTCCCCTCTCAGAATGAACCTGTTGGAGGCAACATGGAGAATGCTGGGGGAAGAGCTGGAGAAAATGTTGGGGGTAATATTGGAGGGAGTGGCGCTGAGACCCACGGCTACAGTAAGGAAGATCTGCTCAACCAACTCATGCACGGAGGGGAGAAAGGCAAAATCCCAGAGGATGACTTGAATCAGCTCTCGCCTGACATTACATTGTCCCATGAGACACACTGGGAACATCATGAGCCAAAAACCACTGTTTCCTCCCAACTTAACCAAATGAAGCCTCAGGATGACTTTCTGCGTAAAGGTGACCTCTTTGAAGTTGAGCTGAACAAGCGTTTAGCAACCCTCATCCCAAATGTGCCGGTGAGGAAGCTCATCTCCCATGTGATTCGCATCCTGAAAATGGACTGCACAGAGCCCGCCATCCAGATGGCTTGTGCCAAACTCATCTCCAGGACAGGGCTCCTTATGAAACTGTTCAGTGATAGAGAAAACATCAAGGAGACTTCCCCTCTGTGGGAGTCATACTTTTGGCCTGTCAAAAATGCAGTCAACAAGACCAAGTCTAGCTCAAGAAAAATAGAGAAACCTTCTGAAGAGGTAAGTGAGGATGGGGGTTCAAACTTGGTCAAGCCTACTAGTATGACTATCAGAAACTTGACCAATATCCACTTTACTTGTTTGTTGCCCTGAAGTTTGTTGAGCTCATGTCACTGAAAGACAAGAATTCACTGTATATCTATAAAGTAGAAGCTGGGTTGACCGTGTAGGCTGCAACCAAGAACCAAAACCAGGATTCCCTGATCCTACTGTTCAGCCAGGGGTCTCAATGAATGTAAGAATGAAACTGCAGGGCAAGAGCACATCCTTTAAAAGTGTATGCATTTTTTGGCCGGAGTCACTGGGTTTTGTAGGTTTTTTTCGGGCTATATGGCCATGGTCTAGAGGCATTCTCTCCTGACATTTCGCCTGCATCTATGGCAAGCATCCTCAGAGGTAGTGAGGTCTGTTGGAACTAGGAAAAAGGGTTTATATATCTGTGGAATGACCAGGGTGAGACAAAAGACTCTTGTCTGCTGGAACTAGGTGTGAATGTTTCAACCGACCACCTTGATTAGCATATAATGGCCTGGCAGTGCCTGGAGCAAACTTTTGTTGAGAGGTGATTAGATGTCCTTGTTTGTTTCCTCTCTGTTGTTGTGCTGTTGTAATTTTAGAGTTTTTTTTAATACTGGTAGCCAGATTTTGTTCATTTTCATGTTTCCTCCTTTCTGTTGAAATTGTCCACATGCTTGTGGATTTCAATGAAACACAGCACCCAAACACGAATTAAGGAACATGAAAGACACTGCAGACTACTTCAACCAGAGAAGTCAGCCATAGCAGAGCACCTGATGAACCAACCTGGACACAGCATATTATTTGAGAACACAGAAATGCTGGACCACACCAACAACCACCATGTCAGACTACACAGAGAAGCCATTGAAATCCACAAGCATGTGGACAATTTCAACAGAAAGGAAGAAACCATGAAAATGAACAAAATCTGGCTACCAGTATTAAAAAACTCTAAAATTACAACAGCACAACAACAGAGAAGAAACAAACAAGGACATCTAATCACCTCTCAACAAAAGTTTGCTCTAGGCACTGTCAGGCCATTATATGCTAATCAAGGTGGTCAGTTGAAACATTCACACCTAGCTCACTAGACCTCACTACCTCTGAGGATGCTTGCCATAGATGCAGGTGAAACGACAGGAGAGAATGCCTCTAGATCATGGCCATATAGCCTGAAAAAAACCTACAACAACCCACTGTATGCATTTTATTTATTTTCTTGTCTTGGTCCTTTTCTGTTTGAGGGATGCATTGTGCATCTATGTGTTGAAGGCAACATGTTCTCTGGTATCACTAGGAGGAAGCTGCAGGCATCCGGGATGCCCGGGGTATGGAAAAAAGAGATACCTGTCTGGTCCGCCCTTGTATCCTATTACCATACCTCCTCCTCTGCCTCTCAGATCTTGCTCTTGAAAATTGCAGTGAAGTGGCGCAAGTGCGCATGTGCAAGATCTGAGAAGCAGAGAAGGAGGGACAGTAATAGGAAAATTACCATATTGAAATAAAATCTGATGCTTTAAAAAATTTTATTTGGTGTGTGTTGGAAGAGGGGTAGTCTTATACGGCGAGTATATCCCAAACTCTATATTTTAACTGGAAAAGTTGGGGGTTGTCTTATTCACCCAGTTGTCTTATATGCCGGAATATATGGTATTTCAGAGAGTGAACTTTTTTATTAGCAGTGGGAAAGCTTTGCAGGGTTTCCTAAAGAATAAACCTGTAATTCTAGTTAACTTAAAGTTGAAGGTAGGCCATAAAATGAGTTTACATCCAATGAGTTGCAATATCTCACTGAATATTTTTCAGGGCAGGAAAAACCTCATGGTCTTCTAGCCTGAATTATTGAATGACAGTTTGATTTTATGAAGGAATGTAAATCTTAAACCATTTGTGTGTATACTCAATTTGTGCAAAACCGCCCCACACAACACGAGATCTAAAAAGAAATGAAGAAAAATAAATTAAAGCTATATGGTAATAGTAACAACAAAATACTTTGGTCTGAATCGTATTGATTGTCCTAACTAGAACAGACTTATTAAAGGAATAACTGAGTGGTGAGTAAACAGTGTATGAATCCCTTGATTTAATCGGTTCATTGAAACACAAGCATCTTTCCTCTTCCCATCTTTCTTTCTTGCAGATAGCAAGGCAGGGAATTCCAGAATATGGATATGGCAACAAGATACTGTTGGCTATTTCAGTGACAGCAGCAATAATGCTTATCATTTTGGCAATAGGACTGTACGAGGTAAGCCTGAAATGCATGTTTAAGCTCTTTACATTTTAGTGTATTAATCTGTTTGGTTGCAATTCTTAATGGAATAAGAAGTGAAAGTCACCAAAGGACACAAGATATTGCTGCTAAGGGGGAAATGCCCTCAAAATATAATAGATAGTTAAATATCCCGTATAGTGTGCTTCAATTTGCAGCAGACTGAATTCTGCCTCAGCTCTCAGCTCTCTGCAAAGAACCAATGAACACTGCTGAATGACACATAGAGGTTAAGAAACAAAAATAGTTTCTTGGATTATAACTTTCAAAAGCTCACAGCCAGCTTCTTAAAGGTGCCATCTAGAACAGGGCTTTTTCAACTTTTCCAATTAGGACTTCTTTTGACCAGATAAATTTTTACGTGGCCCCAAGTATATCTATATAAATAAAAATGTAATGTTCATTTGTTGGATTAACATAACTCAAAAAACTGGACGAATTGACACCAAATTTGAATACAATATACCTGTCAGGCCAATGAGTGACCATCACTCATAAAACACTGAAAAACACAGCGAAGAGACTTAAAAAGTCAAAAAAATTAAAAAAAATACAAGACAACGCATGCGCATAACCACATATGGACAAATATATACACATATATACACACAGACTTGGCCACAGCAATGTGTGGCAGGGGACGACTAGTAGGTATATTAAACAGTTATAACATCAAACTTTTATTGACAACTAGCCATCCCCTGCCACGCGTTGCTGTGGCTCAGTCTGGTGATCTGGAAAATAAAGTAATGCGAAAGTGTTGGTTTCTAATATATGTAATTTCTTTCTGCTTATGGGTAAACAGTATTTCTTGCTGTTTCTTTGTCAGTGTTGATGTGGAGATTGTCTGGGTTGCCTCCTCTGGAACATGCAACATATAATTGTCCTTCTTTAGGGGTCCCTTTCGAATCTATGATAATATTTCTCTGTGTGAATCACATATATATATATCCATATCTATGGCTGATGGCTCTTTGTCAGGAGGGCTTTGATTATGTTTTCTTGCCCTGGTGAAGGGAGTTGGACTGGATGGCCTTAAGTGTTTTCTTTTAGTCGTGGGGGTTCTGTGTGGGAAGTTTGCCCCAGTTCTGTCGTTGGTGGGGTTCAGAACGCTCTTTGATTGCAGGTGAACTTTAAATCCCAGTAACTACAACTCCCAAATGACAAGGTCTATTTCCCCCCAAACTCCATCTGTGTTCATATTTGGGCATATGGAATATTTGTGCTAAGTTTGGTCCAGATCCATCACTGTTTGAGTCCACAGTGCTCTCTGGATGTAGGCGAACTACAATTCTCAAACTCAAGGTCAATGCCCACCAAACCCTTCTAGTCTTTTCTGTTGGTCATGGGAGTCCTTTGTGTCACCTTTGGTTCAATTCCGTCATTGGTGGAGTTCAGAATGCTCTTTGATTGTAGGTGAACTATAAATCCCAAGAAGTACAACTCCCAAATGACAAAATCAAAAAAAACTGAGTGAAGGACATACATTGGGTTGTTAGGTGTATGCTGTCCAAATTTGGTGTCAATTCCCCCAGTGATTTTTGAGTTCTGTTAATCCCACAAACAAACATTACACTTTTATTTATATAGATTAGCATTTGCAAGGCTTACTAAACAGGCTGATTTTCCTTTTTATGAACTACAGCTGAAGCATCTTCCGTAGTATGCATTGTAAACCCTACACAACAAATTTGTGTCAATGTCTAAACTGCCACTAGATGAAATTCAGAAAACCTTTATTGTTGCCAAATCTTTTGTGACCCCAACATTGAGCTAAGAGTACCCCATTTGAGGTTGGGACCCACAGTTTGAGAAGCAGAGATCTAGAACAATGGTTCCCAACTTTTGGTCTCCCAGGTGTTTTGGACCTCAGCCCCCACAGTTCTGAACAGCTGGTAAGCTGACTGAGATTTCTGGGAGTTGGTCCAAAATACATAGAAGACCACTGATCTAAAATATTTTTTTTCAAGCTCTGCTTTTTCCCAAGCATAAAATAAAATCCAGGTGGTGCCCAAGTTACAAACATCCGGCTTACATACAACTCCTAGTTACAAACGGGGATGAGACCACAGGAAGTTAGAGAAATTTATGCCAGGAAGGGAAATTCACTCCTGAACACTTTATCACCAATCCTTGTTTCCCCAACAAGCCAAATTTTTCACAATCCAATTATCACAGGGACAAAACGTTGGGTGAAATATTCTCAACAGGGGCACAGACAGTAAAACAAACATTACGAGAGTGTTAACTCTTCCCCGTGCTATCCAAAACTAACTAAAAATTGGCTAGAGTTACACTTTAAAATGTACCTGTTCCGACTCACATACAAATTCAACCCTATCTCTCTCTTTCTCTCTCTCTCTCTCACACACACTCTCTCTCGCTCTCTCTCTCTCTCTCTCTATCTGTCTGTCTGTCTGTCTGTCTGTCTGTCTGTCTATCCATCCATCCATCCATCCATCCATCTTGGAGTGTGAGGAGTGGGGAGTGATAAAATAATGGATATAAAATAGAGATATTTTAGCATCCTATTATACTGTGTTCTTCTGTTAAAATTCCCCCTTATCTAGACTAAAATAGAAAAGCAGACGTCAAATGAATTAAAGCAAAAAGATAAAAAAGTTAAGAAAAGAGAGAAAGCTCTAACGCTTCCTACTCTCTTACAGCTGTCTTCTTCATAATCAAAAATCTGTCATTCTTTCCTTTATAGTAGATTAAATTTTCAGGATACCTTGAATATCATTGGGGATCCTGTTATTTTGCCCATACAAATTTAACTTAATAACAAACCTATACAACCTATCTTGTTTGTAACCTACGGATGACCTGTTGCACTTCACAAAAGTAGATAATGCTGAGACATCCCCGCAATGTTTCAGCTGGGTGGGGGGGGGGGGGGGAGAAGTAAAAGTATAAGAATGCTGGACAGCCGATCCCTTTTTTAACCCTTTACCCATCACTGATGTCATATGAGAAACTACGGAGACTTTGTTGCTTACAATTATTCCCTGTTTTGTTCAACAGATCTGTTCGCAGCGCTCAAGGGAAGGAGGCGAAAGACGGTAATTTTCCCCTTAGAATGGCTCATTTGCTTAGTTGTTTTGTTTCGGATCCCCCAGTGGGCTAAACCCTTGTGCCAGCAGGCCTGATGACTGACAAGTCAGAGGTTCAAATCTGGGGTGAGCGCAGATGAGCTCCCTCTGTCAGCTCCAGCTCCCCATATGGGGACATGAGAGAAGCCTCCCACAAGGATGGTAAAACTTTGATCTGGGTGTCCCCTGGGCAACACCCTTGCAGAAGACCAATTATCTCACACCAGAAGTGACTTGCAGTTTCTCAAGTCGCTCCTGACACACACAAAAACAATTGTTTTGTGAGTCTGTCCTCAGATTTCCTTCTTTGAAGTACATATTTACACTGGTACCTTACCAGCTTAACTGCCATGCCTTCATTCTTTGGAATCCTTAAATTTATAGTACAGTAAAGAACTTAGGTCTGTAATTTGATTAGTATTTAAGTGATATCGTTCAAGGGATGTTCAACCTCGATCTCTCTGGCAGAGTATTACGTACAGCTAACACCAAATCTCAGGATTTCATAGGATGAAGCCATGACAGAGCTGGCTGAGGTTCTGTGCACTGATTTATTTCCTACTTTGTTCTTTGTCTATTGGAACAAATCTCTCTGCACCAAAACCTTCCTCTTTTCTCCACCCTGCCTACAGAACTCTTGCCAATGAACTCTACAAAACATCCCAGTTGCAGGGATTTGCACTGTATTGCATCCAAAAGTACATCACTCATTTGAACTATGATGAATTGCCTTTGTATTGTTTTTTTTTTCTTCTGCACACATAGCAGTGAATATGTAGGTGCCAAGCAATACACTGCAAATGTGCTGGTAGAGAAAAACACAGCCAGTAATCCATACCAGAGCCCTGTGTCCATATGAAGGGAGCAAAGTTGGGAGCATTCCTGTTAGGAAAACTGACTCTTGTTGCATGCTGAAGCTATCCATATCTGAGTAAAGGGAAGGATGATGGGCTTCAGAACATCATCCTACTCCTGATGTGTTGTGGACAACTTCAACACACAATTGCACTGTGTTAACACTATTTTTGTTCCTGTGTTATAAATGTCATTTCCTAATTGAATCTATCATTAAAAAAATGGAATACGTTTATTAAATTGCAAAAAAAAGTTTTTGCAGGACATTCTGCAGCACATTTTGCTATAGTCTTTCAATGAATATCTCATAGAATCTCAACCAATTCAACATAGTTTGTGGCAGCCACAAAACAAAGTTTCTGGAGTATAATAGCTAGAACTAGGCATGTGCGATCCATGGTTCTAAATGGTTCTAAAGTACTTACAAAACTAAAGTTCTGGTTGTGAAAACTAGGGGGCGCTGGTGCTTTGCTTCTACAGTGTTGCTAAAGTTCTGGTGGTGAAAATTTCAGAACACTAACAAAACTTTCAAAATTTCATTATTTCATTACTAGATTGGGGACCCGGCGCTGCCCGGGTAATTTGAGAAAGGCATTGTGTGCCAAGGTTGGTCTTTATCAGTCATTTATGTGGCTCGCAGTGGTCTCAGAAAGTTAGTGAAGGTAATGCGAGTCCCATCGTCCATGGTTCATCCGCCTCCAAACAGCACCAGGATGTAGAGTGGGTCATGGGGGCTCTGTGTGCCAAGTCTGGTCTTGATTAGTCATTGGATTAGGGTCGCAGTGGTCTTGGGAAGTGAGTGAAGGTACTTCAAGTCCCATCATCAGTGGTCCATCCTCCTCCAAACCACACCAGGATGTAGAGTGGGTCATGAGGGCTCTGTGTGCCAAGTTTGGTCTTTATCAGTCTTTGTTGGGGGCCACAGTAGTTTGTGGGAACTGAAGGTTGGGAAAGTACTACAAATCCCATCATCCATTGTCTGTCCTCCCCCAAATCTCACCAAGATGTAAAGGGGATCATGGAGGTTATGTGTGCCAAATTTGGTCTTGATCAGTCATTGGATGAGGGTTGCAGCGGTCTCGGGAAGCAAGTGGAGGTACTTCAAGTCCCATCATCCATGGTCTGCCCTCCTCCAAACTGCAGTAGGATGTAGAGTGGGTCATGGGGGCTCTGTGTGCCAAGTTTGCTCTTTATTGGTCTTTGTTGGGGGCCACAGTGGTCTGTGGGCACCAATGGGTTTGAAAGTACTATAAATCCCATCATCCATTGCCCGTCCTCCCCCAAACCTCACCAGGACGTAAAGGGGGTCATGGGGGTTATGTGTGCTAAGTTTGATCCAGGTCCGTCACCCATGCTGGTCACAATGGCCTGTGAAAGTGGCAGCCAATCAGAAAGCTGCCACATACACCATTCTCCCTCCACATACAAACACTGACGTTTATTATATACTAGCTTGGGGACCCGGCGCTGCCCAGGTAATTAGAGAAAGTGGGTAATGGCGGCTCTGTATGCCAAGTTTGGTCTTTATTGGTCATTGGATGACGGTTGCATTGTTTTCAGGAAGTGAGTGAAGGTACTTGAAGTCCCATCATCCATGGTCAACCCTCCTCCAAACAGCTGCAGGATATAGAGTGGGTCATGGGGGCTCTGTGTGCCAAGTTTGGTCTTTATCAGTCATTGAATGAGGGTGGCAGTGGTTTCAGTAAGTGAGTGAAGGTACTGCAAGTCCCATCATCCAAAGTCAAACCTCCTTCAAACTGCAGCAGGATGCAAAGTGGGTCATGGGGGCTCTGTGTGCTAAGTTTGGTCTTTATCAGTCATTGGATTAGGGTCACAGTGGTTTCAGTAAGTGAGTAAAGGTACTGCAAGTCCCATCATCCATGGTCAACCCTCCTCCAAACAGCATTGGGATGTAGAGTGGGTCATGGGGGCTCTGTGTGCCAAGTTTGGTCTTGATCAGACATTAGATGAGGGTTGCAGCAGTCTTGGGAAGAGAGTGAAGGTACTTGAAGTCCCATCATCCATGGTCTATCCTCCTCAAAAGTGCACCAGGATGTAGAGTGGGTCATGGGGACTCTGTATGCCAAGTTTGGTCTTGATCAGTCATTGGCAAGGTTCTCAGTGGCCTCAGGAAGTGAGTGAAGTGACTGCAAGTCCCATCATCCATTGACAAATTTTTCCTAACCACACCAGGATGTAGAGTGGGTCATGCACTCTCTGTGTAAATTGTGGTCCTGATCCATCATTGTTGGCAGTTGTAATGGTCTTAGAAGGGAGTGCAGGTATTGCAAGTCCCATCGTCCATGGTGCATCCTCCTCCAAACTGCACCAGGATGTAGAGTGCATCATGGAGACTCAGTGTGCCAAGTTTGGTCTTTATCGGTAATTGGATGAGGGTTGCAGTAGTCTCAGGAAATGAGCAAAGGTACTGCAAGTCCCATAATCCATGGTCCATCCTCGTTCAAACCACACCAGGACATAAGGTGGGTCATGAGAGGTCTATGTGGCAAGTTTGGTCCCGATCAGTCATTGGATGAGGTTAACAGCGGTCTCAGAATGTGAGTGATGGTACTGCAAGTCCCATCATCCATGGTTGCAGTAGGATGTCGAGTGGTTCATGGGAGCTCTGTGTGCCAAGTGTGGTCTGTATTGGTAATTGTCTGACTCAGCCCCCTCTGGCCTTTTCCTTTCCTCTCTTTGTCATCTCGGAATCTTGGAATTGAGGCTGGCCAATCAGAGACCATATGCAAATTTCCTTCTCATGTCTCCGTTTCTGTCATGAACTCTTTTCTCCACCAGGGGCTCCTCTTGAAGCTGGCCAATCAGAGACCATATGCAAATAGCACCGCTGCCCAGCCAATCGGAATCTTTGAACTTTCAGGCTGGCCAATCAGAGACCACAGTGGCAGCCAATCAGAAAGTTAGCACATACACCGCCACACTTTTGTCCTCCGCATACAAACTTTTACTTTTATTATATGTATAGATATAGATTGGTTATTTTTATGACAGAACCTATTATTTATTTATTTATTTATTTACTGTGCTTATAGACCGCTGTTCTCAGCCCAGGGGCGACTCACAGCGGTGTATAACATGGAGGGATAGGTGCAAATTACAAGACATAATCTAACAACAACTAGTAATATCAAAAACATCGTCATCAACATCATCAACATCAACAATCTCAATATCAGTAATACAAAATACAAAAATACAAAAAGTCATTCGCATCGTCTCATCGTTAAACCACAATCCAATATCGTTTTCCATTGTTCCATTCCTGTCGTCATTACCAATTTATTGCACTTCTTGTTCGAACGCCTTCTCGAACAGCCATGTCTTTAGTTTCTTGCGGAATATCATCAGGGAAGGAGCCAGTCTGATGTCCATGAAAAGGGTGTTCCACAGCCGAGGAGCCACCACCGAGAAGGCCCTATCTCTCGTCCCTGCCAGCCGTGCCTGTGAGCAGGCGGGATCGAGAGCAGGGCCTCCCCGGAAGATCTCAAAGTCCTGGTGGGCTCGTAGCCGAGATGCGGTCAGACAGGTATTTTGGGCCGGAACCGTTTAGGGCTTTGTAGGCCAACACCAGCACCTTGAATTGAGCCCGGTAGCAAATCGGCAGCCAGTGGAGCTGGTACAACAAGGGCGTTGTATGCTCCCTGCGTCCCGCTCCTGTTAGTAACATGGCTGCCGCACGCTGGACCAGTTGAAGCTTCCGGGCCGTCTTCAAGGGCAACCCCACGTAGAGAGCGTTGCAGTAGTCTAAGCGGGATGTAACCAGAGCGTGGACTACCGTGGCCAAGTCAGACTTCCCGAGGTACGGGCGCAGCTGGCGCACGAGCCTAAGCTGTGCAAATGCTCCCCTGGTCACCGCCGAGACCTGGGGCTCCAGGCTCAGCGATGAGTCCAGGATCACACCCAAGCTGCGAACCTGCGCCTTCAAGGGGAGTGCGACCCCATCCAGCACAGGCTGTAATCTTTAAAACTGCAAAATGCTATTTTGAAAGTTTTGTTAGAGTTCTGAAATTTTCACCACCAGAACTTTAGCAGCACTGTAGAAGCAAAGCACCAGCGCCCCCTAGTTTTCACCACCAGAACAGTAGTTTTGTAAGTACTTTAGAACCATGTATTACACATGCCTAGTAAGTACCACAAAATTCAACAGGAAATAACACTTTCAAACCAGAAACAGAAAATCTTTCAAATTTTGTTACACTGTGTTATCTTTATTCTTTATTTTTGTGCTCTGTGTTGAAAGGGTAATCTCTGCAGTAGCCTCTACACTCACAAAATATCTAAAGAAAGACTCTCTAAGCATTTGGAATTATTAACAGACAAATATTCATTGAAGCTCATTGCAATTAAAATTAACTTTCCCTGTGTAAAGTAGCATAACTTGATGCAAAATCCAGAGTGTGAAATGTAATACAAAATTGAAGTTTTATTGGTAACATGAGAATGGATATGTTTCTCATCCCTGTGAGACCTGTGATATTTCCAGTCCTGAAAACACTTACACATTGTTAGCGGATTCTTCATATCATCCTAAAGCTACCATTAGATAGATTTTTATTTCTATTTTTATTCTCTTCCAAAGGGGATTCTGGGGCAGAAAGAAGGGATCAGTGGATGAGCAGGTGAGTAATTCCTTAAGGACAACATGATGATTTTGAACTTCATTCTTCCTCTTCAATGTGAGAGATGTAGAGCTGCATTCTCATCTGTGTTTTAGAATTGATGTGGTCTGGAGCAAGTCTCACTCTGCCACAAATGAAAAACAAAATGATTGTTTTTGGAAAGCTGGAAAATGGTCCATCATAAATGCTGGATAATAAGTTTCCCCATTTTTGTTCATCCTGATGACAAGATGGTGAATGCTGTGGTCCAGTAGTGCAGCGTGTGTGTGTGTGTGTATGTGTGTGGGTGTGTGGGTGTGTGTGCACGCGCAAAAATGAAGATATATGAATTCTGCCTACCAAACAAAATTGTCTTCAGTACCCTAATTTTTAGCATTGCAGGAGATATATCATTCATATGTAGAATTGTGCCTTCTTCTTTTCTTTGGATGTCCAACCTGTAAAATGGTAATCTAATGTTTCACATTACTGTAAAACTAGGACATTTGGAGACAGGAGAAAGATTTAGATCTTATTTAGGAGACAATACTCTCCTTTTGTCCCGTCCCCCTTCCCCCCCCCCCACTGCTAAACTGTTATGCTGGCCCCATATATAGGGGTCACAAACCTTGAATCAGGCCAGAAATTGCTCCTGTGCATCCAAATGATATCCAGGGACATCTGACCCATAACGTGGGGTAAAATCGGTTAACTTTATTTTACACCACATTAACAGAAGTCAGCAGCCCTTCAGGGCTGGTGTGGACATTTGTATGAGTTCTAATTAGAAACAATCCCAACTGTTTACATGAGTCAGTGCTGCCATTTGTTTTTCTCGTGCTCTGCAGCGCTGTGGATATTTGTGTTTTGCATCTTTTATCACCGCAGAGGTGGTCACAGAACTCTAGAGAGCTCCTGATCTTCACTGGACATCTTTGCTAACGTCAGCAAGGGTCAAAATACATAAAATGCTTCTTGAGTATTTTTTTTCCTGACATTGATCATTTTGTGTATTTTGACACCCTACAAGTACTCTGGGATAGTGTATAACGTCAGCAAAGGTACCTGCGTAACTTGGAGAGAGAAGGAGGATTGTCCCCTCCTCTCCCTCTCCACTTTCTAAGTTGTGTGGGCATCTTTTCTACCATTGATGATGGCCAGAACCTCTCTCTAGAGCAGTGTTTCTCAACCTGGGGGTCGGGACCCCTGGGGGGGGGTCACGAGGCATTGTCAGAGGGGTCACCAAGACCATCAGAAAACCCAGTATTTTCTGTTGGTCATGGGACTTCTGTGTGTCAAGTTTGGTTCAACTCAATCGTGGTTGGAGTTCAGAATGCTCTTTAATTGGAGGTAAACTATAAATCCCAGCAACTACAACTCCCAAATGTCAATGTCTAATTTTCCTAAACTCCACCAGTGTTCACATTTGGGCATATTGAGTATTCGTGTCAAGTTTGGTCCATATCCATCATTGTTTGAGTCCACCGTGCTCTCTGGATGTAGGTGAACTACAACTCCTACACTCACCAAAACCTTGTTGGTCATGGAAGTTCTGTGTGCCAACAATTCCATCGTTAGTGGAGTTCAGAATGCTTTTTGATTGTAGGTGAACTATAAATCCCAGCAACTACAACTCCCAAATGACAAAATCAATCGTCCTCCGAACCCTTCCAGTATTCAAATGTGGGCATATTGGGTATTTGTGCCCAATTTGGTCCAGTGAATGAAAATACATCCTGCATATCAGATATTTACATTACAATTCCTAACAGTAGCAAAATGCCAGCTATGAAGGAGCAACAAAAATAATGTTATGTTTGGGGGTCACCACAACATGAGGAACTGTATTAAGGGGTCAAGGCATTAGGAAGGTTGAGAAAGACTGCTCTAGAGCACTTTGGATGCCATTCTGGCAACAAAGGATGCAAAAGTTAAGGATGACTATCTAGCAGGGTGGAACTAGGTTCGACTTGACTAGATGGTCAAGACTGTGCTTCTGCTGCTGCCACAGTTCAGGAGTGGAGAGATATAAACACCTCAGGGCCAATCTCAAGCAGTAATGCTCTTCAGACCAATCCAAGATTTTGGTTCTCGTGTAGATGGACCTGTGGTGAGGACAATTTGGGGATAGCCAAGCATTATGACAATCCTAACCCTGAAGTTGTTTGCCGTTTTGTTTGCGATCCATTCTCACACGGCTCTTCCTTCTATCTAGTCTTCTGCAACTTCTTCTCTTGATAAGCCTCTCTGGCTTAAAGACACATATCAGCCTTTGGATGAAACACGGAGGAAGAGCATGGTTAATAAACTCCATGATGCAGAGTCCTCTGATGAGGAAGACATATTCAACTGGGCTAATGCAAGGTATAAATGCTGAAAAGCGCTCTTACTAGATATCTGTGAATGGCAGTGCCTCACTGTCTCCCTCCTATGGCTATAAATATCGTCTTTGCATGTATGATCCCTGGTGAAACCACAGAACCAAAGAAATCTGTAATGATCATGTCGTGATAGATTTTGTTCCCCTGCTTTCTACAGTTCCTGTCCCATGAAGCTAAGCTACTGGCATAAATTTCAGTTGAGAGATACAGTCGTAAAATGTGTCCCCATATTAATTTTTGTCAGAAGGGCAACAAGGCGGAGAACTCAGCCTGGAAAACAGGTTATTAAATCGTCAGCATTCAATGGGATGCAACTTCAACACTCCCCATGGGTTCTTCCTCATTCATCTTGGCTCATAGATACAGAAGGGGATATGTACAGAAAGCACAATAATATATGCTTATTTTGCATTATGTGTTTCTTGGGTTGTCTACAGCATAAAAAAGCCCATACACACAAAAACATCACAGATTGGTGGGTGTCAAGTGTTGTTTTCTTTAATGTGTAGATTAGGGTGCCCCCTTACTGTGGATCTCATGGTTGGGTGCCTGGTACTAACTTCAGAGCAAACGACTTTGCAAGGAGGGCTTTGCCTGGGGAAGTGCTTGGCAGGAAAGGCGACAGCAGCAGTGCTTCAGTGACCTTAAGGGAAACAACATCATTATTTAGTCTTTTCAACTGTGAGGGCCCTGATGTACCTCTTTAACCTTGGGCTCATGCATGGCCAGACTCAGATGGCGAGTGGCCAAGGGGAAAGAGGAAAATAATTTGCCCCAATGTGAATTTGGGCAGAGGAAACGCATGGTCATCAAATACAGTGTCACTGCATTATGAATAAGTGTGGCACTACAGGGTGATCATCTGGGGCAGTTTTAGGGCAGAATAATCTAAATTGCAGATTTATTTGTCGTGTCAGGACAAACAGTCAATTATATTACATTTCTAACAGAAACAAAGCAAACAAACAGACAAAATACAAAATTTGTGAGTTTGGTAGTTGCTTAAATGTCCTTTGACCAGTATCTGGCCACTTGGAGTGCCTCTAGTGTTGCCACAAGGAGGTCCTCCATTGTACATGTATCAGGGCTCAGGTTGCATTGCAGCAGGTGGTCAGTGGTTTGCTCTTCTCCACACTCGCATGTCGAGGATTCCACTTTGTGCCCCATTTCTTAAGGTTGGCTCTGCATCTCGTGGTGCCAGAGCGCAGTCTGTTCAGCGCCTTCCAAGTTGCCCAGTCTTCTGTGTGCCCAGGGGGGAGTCTCTCATTTGGTATCAGCCATTGGTTGAGGTTCTGGGTTTGAGCCTGCCACTTTTGGACTCTTGCTTGCTGAGGTGTTCCAGCGAGTGTCTCTGTAGATCTTAAAAAACCATCAACTCTGTGTAAATTGCAGATGAGTTGTTTTGATGTTGTAAACAACTCCTTTGTTACAGGATTTCACTTTACTACAGAGTGCAAGATCCCCCCCCCCTTAAAGTGCCACCTATACAGTTTTGGAATATTAAGTATTAATATTCTTAATTTAACTTGCTAACAAAATATTGGCCATGCAGGATAAATGCAAGTATTACTACTTTCAACTAAAGCAGCCTGTCTATAACCTCATCACAACAGGCTTGGGTAAATGATGCCTAGTTGTAAACTGCCTATGCCCTGATTGCGCTGTAGAAAACTCCATAAACATAATAATAATAATAATAATAATAATAATAATAATAATAATAATAATAATAAACACTTTATTTATATTCCGCCCTTCTCACTCTGAAGGGGACTCAGGGCGGATCACAGCACACATACACGGCAAACATTCAATGCGGCTTTTGTATAGACGATACAAACTTTCTGTTTTTCTGTTTACCAGACCCCCAGTGGTGGCTGAGCCTCTTCCTGCACCAAAGACCAGTTCAGTCAAATTGTAAGTAACCTGATGTGGTTTAAATCTTGCCTGTTAGTTTTGAGGTTTACTTTCTGGTACTATCCGGTCTTAGGGGAAGAGGGCTCCCACAGTTTTATGATTGGTTTTATGTTGTCTGGAATTGATGTATATTGTAATGCAAAACAACTGGAGACCATCCATGTTTGTTCACAATATGGCTCAACAGAGTGGTCTGCCATGTGCAAAGCAAAAATTTTTGAAAGTTTCTTGGAAAAATGGAATCAGCTTGCTCCTAGACACTGCTTGAATCAATTTATCTGCAAATTTTATTAATTGTTTTTTTAAAAAAATGTAATTATGTGTTATAGCTTTATAACTTTAAAATAATCCATCATTAAAATTATTTTGTGGTGTGGAATGAAAAACCAGTTCAGCAGCCAGATTGACGCCTTCTGTGACTGAGCAGAAAACAAGTGCAAAGTCTGTTCTGTTGGGGAGGAGAGCACTTGAGTATGGTGCATCCAATTTGCTTGGCAGTAATTCCCAAATGAGGAACTATGAGAAATTCTTTGTTACTGAAAAATGAAAGGCAATGGTGAGCACCCAATTCTTACTTTGCCCTTGTGCTTCTTTATTGCATCCTTCCACAACTTCTTCCGCTGACGTTGTCGCTATGCAAAAAGTATTTCCTGGCTATGGGTATAGAGTACGGAACTTCAAAGGGCACCAAGCTGAAATCTTGATAGTGTCTACTCAATAATAATAATAATAATAATAATAATAATAATAATAATAATAATAATAATAATTTATATTGTTATTACTCAGTATATCACCCATAGTAAAATGCAGTATGGCCTCCACTTTCTTGGGGCTTAGGGACACAGGACCCTTGTGAAAGTAGAAAACCCACAATTAAAAAAACAACATTATTTTCTTTAACAGAGAGGATGCCTCTCCAGGAAGCTCTGAATCCTCTAGATTGGTTCTGTGGTCAAGTTCTGGCTGAAGTTGACCATAGAATCACACTGGAAGCCCTATTTATTTATCGTGTCAGGCAACCGAACAGTTGTATTTCATTTTTAACAAAACAAACAAACAGACAGACAAAACACAAAGTTTGCAAGCTTGGTAGTTGATTAAATGTCCTTTGGCCAGCATCTGGCCACTTGGGAGTGCCTCTGGTGTTGCCGCAAGAAGGTCCTCCATGGTGCATGTAGCAGGGCTCAGGTTGCATTGCAGCAGGTGGTCAGTGGTTTGCTCTTCTCCACACTCGCATGTCGTGGATTCCACTTTGTAGCCCCATTTCTTAAGGTTGGCTCTGCATCTCGTGGTGCTAGAGCGCAGTCTGTTCAGTGCCTTCCAAGTCGCCCAGTTTTCTGTGTGCCCAGGGGGAGTCTCTCATCTGGTATCAGCCATTGATTGAGGTTTGAGCCTGCCACTTTTGGACTCTCACTTGCTGAGGTGTTCCAGCGAGTGTCTCTGTAGATCTTAGAAAACTATTTCTTGATTTAAGTCATTAACGTGCTGGCTGATACCCAAACAAGGGATGAGCTCAAGATGTCACTGCCTTGGTCCTTTCACTACTGGCTGCTACTTCCTGGCGGATGTCCGGTGGTGCAATACCGGCTAAACAGTGTAGTTTCTCTAGTGGTGTAGGGCGCAGACACCCCATGATAATGCGGCATGTCTCATTAAGAGCCACATCCACTGTTTTAGTGTGGTGAGATGTGTTCCACACTGGGCATGCATACTCAGCAGCAGGGTAGCATAGCACAAGGGCAGATGTCTTCACTGTGTCTGGTTGTGATCCCCAGGTTGTGCCAGTCAGCTTTCGTATGATATTGTTTCTAGCACCCACATTTTGCTTGATATTCAGGCAGTGCTTCTTGTAGGTCAGGGCACGGTCCAGAGTGACTCCCAGGTATTTGGGTGCGCTGCAATGCTCCAGTGGGATTCCTTCCCAGGTAATCCTCAGAGCTCGGGATGCTTGTCTGTTCTTAAGGTGAAAAGCACATGTCTGTGTTTTAGATGGATTAGGGATCAGCTGGTTTTCCCTGTAGTAGGCAGTAAGGTCGCCTAGAGCTTCGGAGAGCTTCTGTTCAACCATCTCAATGCTCTCTGCTTGAGCAGTAATGGCACAATCATCAGCATAGATGAAGCTCTCTGTCCCTTCTGGCAGTGGCTGGTCATTTGTGTAGATGTTGAACATGGATGGAGCAAGCATGCTCCCCTGAGGCAGGCCGTTCTGTTTCCGTCATCTGCTTCTCTGGCTGTGGAACTCAACAAAAAAGCTCCTGTTTTGTAGCAGGTTTCCTATGAGGCGGGTGAGGTGGTAGTCCTTTGTGATATTATACATTTTTCTCAATAGGAGGCGGTGGTTTACAGTATCATAAGCTGCTGACAGGTCTATGAAGACAGCTCCTGTGATCTGCTGCCTTTCAAAGCCATTTCTATGTGCCGAGTCAGGTTCAGCACTTGCGATGTGCAGCTTTTGCCTTTCCTGAAGCCAGCTTGCTGTGGAATCAGACATGGGTCTATTTGTTCCATAATTCTATGCAAAATAAGTCTCTCGGAAGCCCTATAAATGTCTAGGAAAGTATTAATCAAATCCATGAATAACCAACTCCACAAATGTTAAAAATAGACGGGGTAAATGAAGAGAAGACATGAATCCACAACACATATTTTCCCCGAGGCTAACAGGGCTTGGGGTGATTCCTTTGCAAACTATCTTGCCTCCTTTTTCTCACAGGAATCCTGCAGTAAAGTAACTGTTGGTCCTATGTTAGGAGAATGGCATAATACAAATGAAATTAAATAAATACATTTTGAAGTGTAGTAATGAATTGTTCCTCCTATGTTAGTTCAGAATCTGAGAGATACGAATGCCTAAGACCAAACTGCAAACCATTAGGCAGAAACAGAACATGAATGCATGGGCACTACGAGGGTTGAATGAAAAGTAATGCCTCCACCTTAGTTACTTGGGTATGGATGGGAATATTTTAATAAATCAAATGCAGAAATAGTCCTTAAAATGTGCTCTTTAACTTGCTTGAAATTTCTCTCTGAGTGATACGACAATTGTCCTGAGTCAATCTGTCAATGTTTTGCTTGTGAAACTCGGTGGTTGTTGTCACAGGACGTCCAATTCTTTGTTTGTCATGCAAGTCAAATGTTCCCACCTCAACATATTTAAACTTACTCGCCCAACAATGCACAGTACTCACATCAACACAATCACCAGATTGTCCTGAATCAATCTGTCAATGCTTTGCTTGTGAAACTTAGTGGTTGTTGTCACAGGACATCCAACTCTTTGTTTGTCATGCAAGTCAAATGTTCCCACCTCAACATCTTTAAACTTACTCGCCCAACAACGCACAGTACTCGCATCAACACAATCACCAGATTGTCCTGAATCAATCTGTCAATGCTTTGCTTGTGAAACTCGGTGGTTGTTGTCACAGGACGTCCAACTCTTTGTTTGTCATGCAAGTCAAATGTTCCCACCTCAACATCTTTAAACTTACTCGCCCAACAATGCACAGTACTCACATCAACACAATCACCATAAACAGCTTGCATTCTCTGATTAATCTCCTTTGGGATGACACCTTCTGCTGTCAAGAATTCAGTGACTGCAGATTGCTTAAGTCGCATTGACCAACCATCTACTTAGGGTTCCATACTTTTCCCTTTAACAACACAACCGTTCAATGCTAAGGCTTTCTGCCAAAACTGAACTGTAGAGGAGAGTCTACTGAACAAGCCAGTACCTGCCGCAAACCAGTACTGCCATCTGTTACGAAGGTGGAGGCATAACTTTTCATTCAACCCTCATATAATATTAAAGTAAGAAGCATGAAGAAGAAAGCACCAAACATGTTACAAAAGGGAACAGGGTTTACTTGGGGTCTAGAAGGCAAGACTTGTCCATATAAAGAAAACCTAAGCCTTTGACCCATCCCATCCCATGTCAGACTTGGCAGCACATCTGAGTGTGTTCACATGTGTTCACCAGCAACTTCACAACAGTTGTTGTATTTGATCTGAAATGCCACGAGTTCTCAAGAAAGGAACAGAAGAGAAAATAAAACAACCTTAAATGCCACAAACATTCCTAAATTTCTATTTTTCTTGCTTCAACAGAGAAGCTCCGCCTCCTTCTGCGGAGCCACCCCCGGTTAAAAAGGCCAGTTCCAAGAAACTGTGAGTAGCTGCAATGTCATATAAACCTTCCTTCTAATTAGGAATGTGAGAATAATCTGTGACACAACCTAACCATTTTTTGCCATATCCATCAACAGGACAGTGTTGCTTGACATAGTAATTATACATTTATTGTTATACAAATCAGGTGCACCCCCACAAAGCTTATTTAGCAAGATCCTTCTACACTGGGTTGCTGTGAGTTTTTCAGGCTGTATGGCTATGTTACCACAGTATTTCTACTAACGTTAGGAGAGAATGCTGCTGGAACATGGCCATACAGGCCAAAAACACTTACAACAACCCAGTGATTCTAGCTATGAAAGCCTTCAACAATATCATTGTATGTTATTAGGTGGCAAAAATTGTTGTATCACATAAAGCAGAAATTGTGACTGTGTCTCCCCTCCGCCCCCCCAAACCCTCAGCATTGGCTATGCTGTATAGCAGTGTTTCTCAACCTGGGGGTCGGGACCCCTGAGGGAGTCGCGAAGGGGTGTCAGAGGGGTCGCCAATGACCATCAGAAAACACAGTATTTTCTGTTGGTCATGGGGGTTCTGTGTGGGAAGTTTGGCCCAATTCTATCATTGGTGGGATTCAGAACGCTCCTTGATTGTAGGTGAACTATAAATCCCAGTATCTACAACTCCCAAATGTCAAAGTCTATTTTCCCCAAACCCCATCAGTGTTCACATTGGGGCAAATTCAGTATCTGTGCCAAGTTTGGTCCAGATCCATCATTGTTTGAGCCCACAGTGATCTCTGGATGTAGGCGAACTACAACTCCCAAACTCAAGGTCAACGCCCACCAAACCCTTCCAGTATTTTCTGTTGGTCATGGGAGTTCTGTGTGCCAAGTTTGGTTCAATTCCATTTGGTGGAGTTCAGAATGCTCTTTGATTGTAGGTGAACTATAAATCCCAGCAACTACAACTCCCAAATGACAAAATCAATCTCTCCCCAAGCCCACCAGTATTCAAATTTGGGAATATTTGATATTTGTGCCAAATTTGGTCCAGTGAATGAAAATACATCTGCAGATCATTATTTACATGGCGATTCATAATGTTAGGGTTATGGTTGGGGGTCACCACAACATGAGGAACTGTATTAAGGGGTCGCGGCATTAGGAAGGTTGAGAACCACTGCTGTATAGGGATGGTGTAAGTAGCAGTATAGCAGTATATGGGAGACCACAAGACCCCTTTCTTTAAGAGTATGAGCTCAGATGAAAACCAGTGTGATATACTAGTTAGACTGGTGGACATGGATAGTTTTGAGTTACTGTTTTGGCTTTATGCACCTTTAGGTTTTTGAGAACACTTTTTTAATGGTTAGTGTTCATTTTGGGTGATGGCACAAGGCTGAAGTTGGTTTTCCGAGAACATGCTGGCTAGTTTGGGGAGAATGGGTGGTCTACATGTAGCAGACACTCCTCAACTTTTTTTCATCTTTTGTCAGGGCTGCACCACCCGCTGACAAGGCCTCTGCTGAAGGCTCAGCTGCAAAGAAGTAAGTAACTGTAATAAATCTGGACTTGACTATGTTTTCCTAGCCTTATTCTTCCTACCAGTTACCCAGGTCACTTCCTCTAATAGGTCCGGAAATGAACAGCCATAGACCTGTACCTAATATTATTGTTGCCTGCCATAGCATTCCACTTAATTCCCCGGGCCCCCTAGAATTTTTTAGTTTGCACTAATCTCAGCCCGGTCTTTTAAATTGCCTTAGTGAAAGAGGCATGGACGTGACATCTTTTCCCAGGGATTGCTTCTTGCCCTCCTTTAGGAAATTGGAACTCTCAAAGACCCAAAACACTGTAGATAACTCAAAATAAGTTTTATTGTTCACAAAGAGTTATCTCTTTAAGGCAATAAGCTGGAAGTTTCAAAGGGGTGAAGGAAAATGTACATTACAGTCTCTGGTTGTCTTGGGTCCAAGAAGTTTTGAAGCTGAGAAGCTTTTCCAGATCCCTCTTTCTCAATGGCTCTAAATGCCGGAGCAATCCACAACCCCAGTCCAGATGGCCTATGTTTGAAGACACAGGGTCTTCCTCTGGTGCCAAAAGAACTGGTTTGAAGGCGCTTGAGACTTCCCAACGTCGTTCAGGTTGGTCTGAACATGAAGCATAAGTCTCAAGGTAAGAACCTCAGAATTGGTGCTGAGAGGTAATTTAATCAGGGGCTTTTAGAGCCAAGTCTCTTACTCATGTCCATCTGGTAGAAAATCTGATGGTGGAATAAAAAAGGGAAGCACTCCCCTCCTCCAGGAAGAGGTGGAGCCAAACAATTGAGCTGAAAAAGCAATTCAACTGGTGCAAACAACACTGATTGACAGCTATAAATAACCAATCAATCCAACTATACATAAGCAGGGTAAAAAGGCAGGATTAAGCATGATACAACAGTTTAAATCTTGCAACGAACAGTTCTATACATAGGTATTTATTTGTCGTGTCAGAGCAACCAGTCCATTATATTACATTTCTAACAGAACAAAGCAAACAAACAGACAAATACAAAACTTGTGAGTTTGGTAGTTGGTTAAATGTCCTTTGACCAGTATCTGGCCACTTGGGAGTGCTTCCGGTGTTGCTGCAAGAAGGTCCTCCATTATGCATGTGGCAGGGCTCAGGTTGCATTGCAGCAGGTGGTCAGTGGTTTGCTCTTCTCCACACTCGCATGTCGAGGATTCCACTTTGTGGCCCCATTTCTGAAGGTTGGCTCTGCATCTCGTGGTGCCAGAGCGCAGTCTGTTCAGTGCCTTCCAAGTCGCCCAGTCTTCTGTGTGCCAAGGAGGGAGTCTCTCATTTGGTATCAGCCATTGGTTGAGGTGCTGGGTTTGAGCCTGCCACTTTTGGACTCTCGCTTGCTGAGGTGTTCCAGCGAGTGTCTCTGTAGATCTTAGAAAACTATGTCTTGATTTAAGTCGTTGACGTGCTGGCTGATTCCCAAACAGGGGATGAGCTGGAGATGTCTCTGCCTTGGTCCTTTCACTATTGGCTGCTACTTCCCGGCGGATGTCAGGTGGTGCAATACCGGCTAAGCAGTGTAATTTCTCCAGTGGTGTAGGGCGCAGACACCCGTGATAATGTGGCATGTCTCATTAAGAGCCACATCTACTGTTTTAGCGTGGTGAGATGGGCATGCATACTAAGCAGCAGAGTAGCATAGCGCAAGGGCCAGATGTCTTCACTGTATCTGGTTGTGATCCCCAGGTTGTGCCAGTCAGCTTTCGTATGATATTGTTTCTAGCACCCACTTTTTGCTTGATGTTCAGGCAGTGCTTCTTGTAGGTAAGAGCACGGTCCAGAGTGACTCCCAGGTATTTGGGTGTGCTGCTGCAATGCTCCAGTGGGATTCCTTCCCAGGTGATCTTCAGAGCTCGGGATGCTTCTCTGTTCTTAAGGTGAAAGGCACATGTCTGTGTTTTAGATGGGTTAGGGATCAGCTGGTTTTCCCTGTAGTAGGGAACTAACAGTTCTACACATAGATGCGCCGTCACAAGTGCCTTTGTGAGGGAAGAGGGAAGATTATATGGTCAGTTTCCTCCTTATGCTGGGAGGACAACCTGAGGATGACTCAGGCGCTGCCCTGCCCCCTTCTGGCCTCATCCTCTCCTCACTGGCCTCTCATCCCTACCCCTCACTGGCCTGCTCCGGCCGGCAAACAAACACATGGCCCCCCACCCCTGGCCAGGCCTTGCTGGCCAGGCCTGCAATGTGACCTCAAGACAAAAAAGTTTGCCCATGGCTGTTCTACACTGACTGAATAATCCAGTTCACACTGCATTATATGGCCATGTTGATGGAGCCTTGGTTGATCAGGGTCGAACAAAAGCATTGGCACAAATTCTCTTTAATTTTGCTTTTCGCTCTTTGCCATCAGGTCCGGAGAAGAAGGAAGTGAAGCGGGGACTGAAGAAGCTTCAAAGAAAGCGTAAGTAGCATTGAGCTCTAAATCTGAATTGTTTTTCCTTCACTTTTATAAACACATTGGTCTAGAAATCACAAGAGAGCTGCAGTCTTTCAAAAGACATTGATACGTTGCAAAGCATTTTTCAAAAAATTTGATTTTAAAAATGAAATATTTATTACTAGAAAATGTATTATTAGAAAAGTGGGAAGGAGGAAACGCAATGGAAGTGAGTGGACATTAACAAAACAGGGGATAAATCATTTGTGAGGGAACAGAAGGACTCATCTCATGGAGGTATTTGATGCATTTCCCCATAATTTCATTCAGAGATCCCAGCCCACATTTTAGTCTTCCCAATATTATGCCCCTGTGACATTTTGGACCACAATTCCCAATATCTCTATCCAGAAAGAAAAGATATAGTTGTAATACTATCATATTCGGAGGGACTCACATACATACATGCATGCTTCACAATTTCTTCTGAAGGAGATTTTTTTAACATTACTGGACCAGAGGTCTAATCACGCTTCAGACATTGTTCAATTTTGTAGGAAAGGGTTTGTTTTTTTTTTAATATCTGAGGTATTTATTTATTTATTTATTTATTTACAGCATTTATATTCTTCTCACCCCGCAGGGGACTCATGGCGGATTACAGTGTACACATATATGTCAAACATTCAATGCCAATTTTAACATACAACATATGCAGACATACACAGAGGCTATTTAACTTTTTCTGGCCGCCAGGGGAGCTGTCGCTTTTATGGTCCATCTCCGACACTGATGAAGTACTTCCGCATTCCCCGCATGCTTTTTTGCTGGAGTGCTTTGCTGGAGGCTTTTTAATGGCCTCATAAATTAGTTAATTTATAGGCTTGGGTAACAACGGAAAAATTTGTTTCTAAACTCGTTTCGTTTTTAGGGGTCCATCGCGTTTTGTTTCTTTAAAGAATTCCGAAATTTTCCTTTTAAAAATTTCGAAATTTATGAAATTTCGTATAATTACGAATCGATTCGTTTATGGCGGACACGATTGCGCAATATGCTAAAAAAACCTCCAAATGGGACAGGGGGAACTTCTGAAGCTTCCCTCTCCCTCTGTTGTTGACTGTTGGTGTGATAAAACAAACAACAACTATAAAACTTGCACCAGACATGCGAAAATAATTACGAAATAATTACAAAATAATTACGAAATAATTACGAAATAAATTGAAAAAATTGTTTCGAATCTAATTTACTCCTCACACTAGTCCTGCATGGCTCAATATTGGATCGTAAGCTAATTTAAATATGAACTAATAACGAATTACGAAATTAACGAACGAAACTGCCCAAGCCTATTAATTTAGGTGGTACCTAATTTTCCTACTTGACAGATGCAACTGTCTTTCGGGTTGCAAAGGTCGACAACAGGCTACACAATTGGTTGGAACCCTACTCCAACCCAGGCTGGCTTCGAACTCATGACCTTTTGGTCAGAGTGATCAAACATTTCATTATAAATTGGAGTAACCTCATTCTTGCAGCATATTCATGTTACTCATCATAATACGACCCTTGTTCTTCTTTGTTCTTTTCTGCCATGGAAGGAGATTCTCTTCTTTTTCTGGGAAGTTTTCTTTAATTGCTGCAATGGTAGGAAGGAGCATTCAATGTTGACAAGTTATGCAGCCGTTTAAAAAGTATAGGAACCCTGCTAGAAAAAGAAATCATGGCAGCTCAGTATGGATGTCACATGGCTTTTGGGTGCTATCCAGATCCAAAATTCTTGTCTTTGTTGTCGAGCAATTTAGAGTGGCTGTGGATAGAGAGATCCAAGCCATTGTGGGTTGCCTGGTGAGAAAAGAAGCCAGTATTCCAGAATAAATCTCACCAAGTTGAAGAGAAAGCCACTGAAGTTTTATTTCATTCCAGCTAGAAAGGATGATGATTGCAGTAGCCTACCAAAAACCAACATGCCCACTGGGCAGAGAAATACCAAATATATAGCCTTCAGATTCAAAAGTTTCCATGCCCACCCCAACCCCCTAAGCTGGCTTTGTTATGATTGGCTGTGACATCAGCAGGCCAGCAGGAAAAGGGAGGCAGGCAACAAGGAGACAATGAAGAGATGTCTAGTTGACTGGATTAGGGTGACCAGTGTTTGTCCAATGACCCAACAATAGCTTAGGCCAAGGGTCCTCAAACTACAGCCCGCGGGCCACTTCCAGCCCGCCAAGGGCACTTATCCGGGCCGCAGAGGAGGAGCGCCCCCCCCCCCCACTCAGTGCCCTCCCTTGGCTGGCTCGCTATCCGTCAGGCCCGATGGGCAGCGTGAGCCAGCCAAGGCATCGCGAGGTGCTTTACGCAAGAGTAGGCCGCGTGGTGCTGCTCCTCCCTTGGCAGGCTCACGCTGCCCATTGGGCCCGATGGGCAGCATGAGCCAGCCAAAGGAGGCTGCCCCGGCGCTCCATGCAGTCATGCCGGCCACATGACCTTGGAGGTGTCTATGGACAACGCCGGCTCTTCAGCTTAGAAATGTAGATGAGCACCACACCCCAGAGTCAGACATGACTGGACTTAATGTCAGGGGACAACCTTTACCTTTACTAGGAAAATTGTGGAAGATCCAGGGTGGGAGAAAGAACTCTTTTCTGTTGGAGGTAGGTATGAATGTTTCAATTGGCCACCTTGATTACCATTTCATAGCCTGATAGTTTTTAGGGTGAATCCTTTGTTGAGAGGTGATTAGCTGGCCCTGATTGTTTCTTGTCTGGAGTTCCCCTGTGTTTGAGTGTTGTTCTTTATTTACAGTTATAATTTTAGAGTTTTTTAAATACTGGTAGCCAGATTTTGTTCAGACTAGAAATAGGAAGATTTCCCATTCTCTGCTCCTGGAATTACTGCCTAAAGAGGGCTAGAAAGAACCCCCTCTAAGGGCCCTTCCACACAGCAAAATAAGATATGTGCAATGTGCATAGGAATTTTTTAATTGATTTTTTTTTTAAAAAAAAACTATAGTCCGTCCTTCCAACGGTCTGAGGGACAGTGAACTGGCCCCCGGTTTAAAAAGTTTGAGGACCCCTGGCTTAGGTCCTCAAGTCAAACCCAAATTATTGTGTTAGTCCTTTGAATCATCATCTCTGTCTGGCCCCAAGGGGTCAGGTCCTTAGTTTTACAATTCTGAGATATATGGTTCATTTAGGATTTTGAAGTTGGTTGCGGCTGGTCAGGATATGACACAATGGAGAAGCTGTGGGGAAATTCCTGGTTCCTCGAGGATAGGAAGATACCCTTTGTGTTGAGTGATTTAAATGTCTATAGATCCTATCATTCCAGATGGCCTGGCTTTGCCCTCCAAGGTCTAGTCTGATAAGAGTCATTTATCTATTGTCCATGCAAGTGAGCCTGGTGAAATCCTTTATTAGGAGATTATCAACTCAGGAAGAGTGGACGGGCTTCCAGAGCTATGAGTTGCTGAATTTATGAAAATAGTGGCTTTTTCCTTCATATTTCATATGGACACATACATACAAGGGATGGGAATGGGGCAAGGAAACATACAATGAATTCATAGGGAGAGAGGAAATCATGCAGGGCCTCAGCGGGAGATCATGCCAGCCCCCCCGCCCCCAAAGCCCATCAAAGTTCAGAAAGTTTGGCAAGCATTTATAAAAGTTCCTAGAAAGTTCATGGAAAATCCATAAGAGTTCATAAGAGTTCATAGGGGTGTATAGAAGGCCCTAGGAGCACTGAGTAGCCAGAGACCATTCATAAAACAGGAGTTTCATTTACAAAAAAAGGAATCCAATTAATAAATAATAGCCCAATTGGTCAGCTGCTAGTTTGGGTTACTGGAGCGTTGCCATGTGAGGCAATGGGGCCATGGAAAAAGCCTTAGGTTCCCACATGGGGGAGAGATAGGGGATTATGGGATCATTCCAGCCTGGTATACTTGGCAAAATTATTAATTCCAATTCCCTGATTTTGAATTATCTTTTACAGAATCCTGCGGGGGGGGGGGGGGGGGGGGGGGGTGTCACCTCCGATCACATCTTGACTAAACTACCTCAATATTAGTCCTTTTGTACCTTGGACTTTTGAAAGAAGTCGAGCTGAATAAGCAGATCATGGATGTTCACTTTATAGTCTTCCAAAGTAATGGCAGGGGAGAAAAAATGCTAAACTTACTAAGAAAGAGTGGCAATCCAATTCAGGTAGCTGTACTTTAACTTTTTTAAAAAATCTGTTGCAGTTCGGAAGGGGAAGGCGAAGCTGAAGGCGAAGCTGAAGGCGAAGGCGAAGAGGACTAAGGTTGACTGTTCTACGTTTGTGAATACTGCTGTACATTATCTAGAACGTTATAAAAATTGTATTTTCTTCATATGGGATATTATTAAATATATTCCTCCAATAAGCACCCTGGCCAGTGTCATCCATACCCACAGCCTAATCACTATGAAGAGTTTCAAGTCCTTGGACTTCATTGCTTCACAAGACACTTAAAACAGATTGTAAAACATCCAAGAAAAAAAAAGCTTAGGAAAAGAAATACCATGATATAAACACAGTGCTTATATATTTATTTATCGTGTCAGGGGCAACCAGACCATTGTATTACATTTCTAACAGAACAAAACAAACAAACAGATTTTAAAAAACCACAAAGTTTGCAAACTTGGTAGTTGATTAAATGTCCTTTGACCAGTATCTGGCCACTTGGAGTGCCTCTGGTGTTGCCGCAAGGAGGTCCTCCATTGTGCATGTGGCAGGGCTCAGGTTGCATTGCAGCAGGTGGTCAGTGGTTTGCTCCTCTCCACACTCGCATGTCGAGGATTCCACTTTGTAGCCCCATTTCTTAAGGTTGGCTCTGCATCTCGTGGTGCCAGAGCGCAGTCTGTTCAGCGCCTTCCAAGTCGCCCAGTCCTCTGTGTGCCCAGGGGGAGTCTCTCATTTGGTATCAGCCATTGGTTGAGGTTCTGGGTTTGAGCCTGCCACTTTTGGACTCTTGCTTGCTGAGGTGTTCCAGCGAGTGTCTCTGTAGATCTTAGAAAACTATTTCTTGATTTAAGTCGTTGATGCTGGCTGATACCCAAAACAGGGATGAGCTGGAGATGTCTCTGCCTTGGTCCTTTCACTATTGGCTGCTACTTCCCGGTGGAGTCAGGTGGTGCAATACCAGCTAAACAGTGTAATTTTTCCAGTGGTGTAGGGCGCAGACACCCCGTAATAATGCGCCATGTCTCATTAAGAGCCACATCCACTGTTTTAGTGTGGTGAGATGTGTTCCACACTGGGCATGCATACTCAGCAGCATTGTAGCATAGTGCAAGGGCAGATGTCTTCACTGTGTCTGATTGTGATCCCCAGGTTGTGCCAGTCAGCTTTCATATGATATTGTTTCTAGCACCCACTTTTTGCTTGATATTCAGGCAGTGCTTCTTGTAGGTCAGAGCCAGAAACACAGTGCTAGGATTATTTTATCATATTCTGGCTGCCCAATAACATTGTTCTCTGGGTGAGTCTCAAGATTAAATAACAAAAATGCAACATCGAATTGCAATAAAAGAACAAGTTTTAGCCTGCAGTATAATATGTGCATTGCACGATGACTCTGGAAGTAGGATTCAAATCCTCGCTCAGCCATGAAACCCATTGGGCAACTTGGAGCAAGCCACACACTCTCAGCCACAGAGGACAGCAACTGCACACCTCTTTTGAACAAATCTTGCCAAGAAAACCCTGTGATTAATTTACATTAGACTCGCCATAGGTTGAGAACAACTTGAAAGTACACAACAAGAACTGCTACTGCTACTACTATTGCCAGGGAAAGACATGAAGCCACTTTCAGATCACAATTATGCATGAAAGCTACTTATACAATAAGAATATGGATTTGAAAAGTATAGAGAAATGAATATGCTTCCACACAGTGCTAATATTAAAACCTATGGCGCCAGGCAAAGTTATTTGGGGAGAGCATTTCAAAACAAGGGCACCTCCCTGAGAATTATCCACCTTGTTATCCTAGGAGATCACTCAGTAGATGATGATGATGATGATGATGGTGATGATAATAATAATAATAATAATAATAATAATAATCTTTATTTATACCCCACCACCATCTCCCCACTGGAGACTCAAGGTGGCTTACATGAGGCCAAGCCAAACAACAAGATACAACAGAATAAAACCGAAAACGCAAACAATAAACAACAACATCATAATTACATAACACATATGAATATATAACAATATAAAATTACAATAAACACAAACACAATGACAATGGGCAGGCTATATTAATGATTAAAAGAGAACTAAATAAAAACTGATTAAAAACTCGAGTGAGATAAGAAGAAGCAGGTTATTTGCGGAAGAGGGCTCATTAAAACGGGGGTTATGGAATCAAGCTTTCCCATAAAAAGGGGAGGGACGTATACTCCAATGACAGAACGTTGAGGCTAAGCAATAGTGTGAGGTTGTATACCTACTCACCAAAGGTGCAGCGGAAGAGCTAGGTTTTAAGGTTCTTTTTAAAGGTTTCTAGTAGGCCTGTTTGATCAAGAAAAAATTTGTTTCTAAAATCGATTTGTAATTGGAGTGTTTTTTTGTTTCGATATTTAAAATAATTACAAAACTTTCCCCCAAAAAAGTTTTGGTATTTACGAAATTTCGTAAATATTAACGAATTTTTAGAATATTTTTTTGTATTTTTAAAGAATAATATTAAAATAATATTAAAAAATATTTTAAAATGGAAAATTAACCAAAAAATGGCCCAAATGTGGACCAAACACAGGCAGGAGACAGCAAATGAGAGCACACACCAACAGAAGAGTCTTTTCTTTTTTAGAATATTTTTTAAGAATAATATTAAAATAATATTAAAAAATAATATTAAAAATAATATTAAAAATATTTTAAAATGGAAAATTAACCAAAAAATGGCCCAAATGTGGACCAAACACAGGCAGGAGACAGCAAATGAGAGCACACACCAACAGAAGAGTCTTTTCTTTTTTAGAATGTTTTTTAAGAATAATATTAAAATAATATTAAAAAATAATATTAAAATAATATTAAAAAATATTTTAAAATGGAAAATTAACCAAAAAATGGCCCAAATGTGGACCAAACACAGGCAGGAGACAGCAAATGAGAGCACACACCAACAGAAGAGTCTTTTCTTTTTTAGAATATTTTTTAAGAATAATATTAAAATAATATTAAAAAATAATATTAAAAAATAATATTAAAAAATATTTTGAAATGGAAAATTAACCAAAAAATGGCCCAAATGTGGACCAAACACAGGCAGGAGACAGCCAAAAAATTAAGAAACAAATTCACAAAAACCGAAGCAAGCAGCACTCACAGCAGCAAGGAATGAATCCAATCCAGTTGCTAGCCAAGCCAAGCCAACCCAATGCAAACCCTCCCGGACCTCTTCTCTCTCCCTCGCCCTCTGCAGCAATGAGCTACGGCCGCGCGGAGCCGCTTTGAAAGGGCTCGCCGGCCAATCAAAAACAGACAGCCACGGACCCATGGTGCACTGCTTGGGAGCGCCGGATTGGCTCCCAGGCACCAGCACTCCAGCAGCCTCCACCCCATTAACGAAACGAGCGGAAGCTCGTTAAATCTATGGGGGTTGCTGGTTCGATATTTTAAAGCCCTTCCGGGTTTGGAAATGTGTTTTGATATCGCTTCGGAAATGCCAAAAAATAACGAATTAATAACGAATTAACGAATTAACGAACGAAACCGCACAGGCCTAGTTTCTAGGGTAGGGGCTTTCCTGATCTCTCCAGGTAATGAGTTCCAGAGTTGGGGGGCCACAGAGGAAAAAGCTCTCTCCCTTGTGCTTACAAGGCGAGCTTGTGAAACTGGCAGGGGCAAAAGAAGGGCCTCCCCAGAAGATCAGAGGGCCCGGGTGGGTTCATGGAGGGAGATACGGTCACAAAGGTTTAGGGCTTTATAGGTGATAACCTGCACCTTGAATTGGGTCCGGAAAATAAACGGCAGCCAGTGGAGCTCCTTAAACAGGGGGGTAGACTGCTCCCTATAACTAGCCCCAGTTATTAATCTGGCTGCCGAATGTTGAACAAGTTGTAGTTTCCGGGCTGTCTTCAAGGGTAGCCCCACGTAAAGTGCATTACAGTAGTCCAGTCTGGAGTTAACTAAGGCATGGACCACCATGGTCAATAGACCTGCAACATTTTGTACTGTAGATTCTACCCCATGCTTTTTTGATAGGAAAATGAGAGGCAATGTCAAAATTACTATGCAATACACATTACAATAGGTGCCAGATTGGGAAGGATAGTCTGTTTAGAAGGCTATCATAGTCTATGAGAGGGGGAACCTGAAGCCATTTTCACCCAAGTGATGGACTGCACTTACCAGTTTTCCGTTGAATTTGCAAGTAGATATAGTTGTAGGGATTCTTGTTGGAAACTAGGGGGTGACTTTTTCTATTGATCTATGGCTTCTAGAAGAGAAGTGTCTGGCCTTTTACTTTTTTCTGACTAATTTTCCATCCCAAACTTTTGTGCAAGGGGTTTTAAGGGCTACAGAAAGGGGTGAGCTATAAACTACATTTTTCCCCGCTTTCACCATAGTCAGTAGTACCAAGAGCCACCAGGAGATCAAAGACAGGTCCACATTTCCACTGTCCTTTGAGAGACTCTAATGATTGATCAGGATGGTTGCTGTCCAAAAACAAGGTCTACTTGTTTTATCAAATTTGAAGTTAGCTAACCATCACCCACTTGCTGGTCTTGAATCGGAAAATAATTTGTATTCAAAGAAGTTATCCAAACCTAGAGATAGGGTCGAGCTCAACCTTCACACAAACTAACAAAATGTCCAACTAAAAAAAACCACATTAAAAAAGAAAAAAACTTGTGATAGGGTTGCCTGAGGTTGGAAATGACTTGAAGGCACAGAACAATCACATCTCAATTGAACAGCTAAATAACCTAAAGGCACCAGGTCATATCTGGTCTTGGAAACTAAGGAGAGTCAGCTCTGGTTGGTTTTTGGATGGGAGAACCCAACAAATACCAAATGCTGTAGGCTCTATTTTAGAGGGGGGGGGGAACTGTCAAAAACCATCTCTTGAGTATTCCTAGCCTATGAAAACTCTTGAGAAATGGATGGGGTCATTATTAAGACACAGGATCCATCTACATTGTGGAATTAATGCAGTTTGATGCCATGTTTATTGCTATGGCTGTGGAATCATGGAAGTGGTGGTTTGGTGGGAAACCAGCACTCTCCAACAGAGAAGGCTGAAGTCTTTGTAAAACTATAATCCCCACAATTCCATAGCATTGAAATGCATGACATATGTTAATTTCACAGTGTAGATGTATTCTAGCCCCTTTTACACTGCCATATAATCCAGAT